CAGTAGGTACTCCCATTAGCAACAAACAGTAGGTACTCCCATTAGCAACAAACAGTAGATACTCCCATTAGAAACAAGAATAGATACTGCCATTAGCAACAAACATTAGCAGCAACTATAGACACCATCTCACTCCTCCTTGTAAACACAACAGTGCTTTTTAATTATCTTTCAGCAAAAAATGCATCAAAAACAAGCATGCAAAGTGCACTGCAAAAAGCACTGCAAAACAGACAATACGCAAACTGCATTTTTTGTGGTTTTCTGGACCAGGCCTGGAATGCATTGAAAATGCAGCAAAAACACATCAAAAACACAAACGTTTTACATTTTTGATGCATTCTGCATCTGCCCAGCAACAAGTTGGCTAAAAAAAAAAAATCAAAAAAGGCAAAACGCATAAAAAAGGCATACAAAATGCGCGTGCAAAAATGCACACATACTGCAATAAGCACGGCAAAACGGAGAAAATATAAACTGCACTGGTGTGAACCAGGCCTGAAATGCATTGAAAATGCATCACAAAAGCATCAAATACACACTTGGTATGTTTTTGATGTGCTTTGAGTTTTTAATCTGCCCAGCAACAAGTTGGGTAAAAAAAAAAGCATTAAAAAAACGCAAAACTTATAAAAAAGCATCAAAAAATGCGCATGCAAAAAACACAAATACACTGCAAAAAGCTCAGCAAAACAGACAAAACATAAACTGCATTGGTGTGAACCAGGCCTGACCTGCATTGAAAATGCATCACAAAAGCATCAAATACACACACATGTTATGTTTTTGATGTGTTTTTAATCTGCCCAGCAACAGGTTGGCCCAAAAAAAAAACAAAATGTACCAAAAACCGCATCAAAAAAACGCGCGAGAAAAACTCACTGCAAAAAGCATTGTAAAACAGACAAAAACGCAAACTGCATTGGTGTGAACCATGCATTGAAAACCTAGCAAAAAAGCATCAAAACCACACATGTATTGCGGTTTTTTAAAATCACATGACCTATGAAAAACACCCTAAACGTGATAAAATCACGGCAAAATTGCAGGTAAAATCAAGACAAAATCCTTGGTAAAATCGTGGCAAAATCCCGGGTAAAACTGTGGCAAAATAGTAGCAAAACCGCAGCAAAATCCCAGGTAAAACCATGGGAAAATCACGGGTAAAAACGTGGCAAAATCGTGGGTAAAAATCACGTTTTTGGTAGCCATTCGCACCTTTTTTCCTATCGGTAAAATGCCTATAACACTATTTTGGGCTGCCGATATACGTGTGCACCCCTAGTATGTATAGTATATACACTGTTATTAGTGGAGGAGGTACAGAGACTACTAACTGAAGCAATGGGAGGCGGGACAGACCCAGAGGGGTTTATTTACTAAAGCTGGAGAGTCCAAAATCAGACTCCCTTCTGCATAGAAAACCAATCAGCTTCTAACCTCAGCTTGATCAATGAAGCTTTGGCAATGAAACCTGGAAGCTGATTGGTTTCTATGCAGAAGGGAGTCTGATTTTGGACTCTCCAGCTTTAGTAAATAAACCCCAGAGTGTCCCGAGCTGCCATTCTTAGAACACTGCCTGGGTGGGAGGTACAGACCAGGAGTCTGACTCCTCCCACTACAGTGAGCTGGGAGGAAATCACTGCTTCCTGGAGGAAGAACTACAGAAGAGGTGTGCCAAGACCAATGGCTGGGAGAATAGGAGGCATAGCAGACAACAGTCTTACAAACAGGAAACCACTGGGAATTAATGGTTTGATTTGAAAATCATCAGCTTATTTCAGAGCAGCTACTGAGTGAACCAGAAGATGGATGACACATTCAGTGAATGTAGGAGATCAGCAGCAAGAACATGGAAAAAAGTTTGTGCCCAGAGTTCTGCTTTAGCTAAGCAGTGCACCCTTCTCAGTAGAAAATACATTTAACCCCTCATTAACCACTTGCTGTCCGGCCGTTGTATATAAACGGCACGACGGTGGCAGTCCAGGGGCGGGTTGCCGTTCATAAACACAGGAAGTGCAATGCTATTTTTCAAGAGGAATTTAAAGTGGTAGTAAAAGGCACTTTGTTCATTTGTACCTACTGTACAGGTAAACCTATAATAAAGCTTACCTGTAGATAAAATGAATATCTCCTAAATGTACTTTGTTTAAGAGATATTCAGGGTTTTTTTTTACATTCGCATTCCTTCAGAGCACTGTGCCGTGTCCTGAGACTCTCGTGCACATGTGCGGGAGTGACGTCATCGCGGCTCAGCCAGCAAGATGACCAGAAGAAGAAAAGGGAAGACCGGGTGAAGATGGAAGCCTCTACAGCGGTGACAGTGCGCCACTGGAGGGCTTCGTTTTAAGGTAAGTCCTACATAATGTGCTAGTATGCGATGCATACGAACACATTATGCCTTTAACTTTTCTTTCATTTTGGACGCGGTTTACTACCACTTTAAGAAAAAGGGTCAGTTTTTCAGTTTAGGTCCACGTCAGTAGAAGGAGAAATTATGGATGGGTCACCAGTAGCAGGCAGTTCACTGTGTAGCCTGCAAGAGCTACATGTCATGTAGTAAGTCATGTAGTAAGCCATGTGTCTATCTTCACCTAGGGTTTGGTGCTAGGAGGGTTTCCACCCAAATTCTGTTTTATTTGCCCCTGATGTGTACCTTACCGGAAACCTGTAGTAAAAGTAAGGTTGCTAAACTGTCTATACATATCTTTAGTTTTTTTTTGGAGCCCCAAAACCTAGACCTCTTGTGCCTCTGCTTTGTCGCCCATATTATGTGAATATTTGCCACTGTTGTCACCATCAGAAAATCCATAGTGAAAAATGCCATGCAGTCATCACTGGAGCGCCAGTAGATAAACAGGAAATGGCTGCAAAGAGGGTGTAGGAGACGAAATGAACTAAAATGCAACAAATGGTAAAAAAAAAGGTGTAAACAGTATTTTATTTAAAAATACCTATATTTTTTGATACCCAGTGCTTGGACAATCTAAATGTTGGGGTTTGGAAAGAGAAGAGAGGGGCGCCAGACTAAGTGCAGCATTAGAAGGTAAATTTTATTGCAAGGTAAAAACAATGGCAACTCACTAGAAGTGAAGTGTAATAAGGCATGTCACCCTGGACATCGTCCTGAGGTCTGAAGAAGAAGCTACGCTTCGAAACGCATTACCGCCCATTTTTACGTCACTACACTGCTACGTCTGATGACATGTCCGCCCCGGCGCCATTTGCGTTCCCGGCTGATCTTCCCTCCAGCGGCTGGCCACACCAAGCACCGAGTGTCCAGGAGACTTGTTCCTGCTGCTACTCCTGCATCACACAGTCCTGCTTTTTCTCCATCGGCTCCCCGGGACCTTCACAGGACGACGTCCAGGGTGACATGCCTTATTACACTTCACTTCTAGTGAGTTGCCATTGTCTTTACCTTACAATAAAACTTACCTTCTAATGCTGCACTTAGTCTGGTGCCCCTGTCATCTCTTTCCTTGCCTACAGAGTCCAGCTTTGCTCTGAGGGAGCTGCCACTGATGTTGCTGTCTGTTGTCCATTATTTATTTATTTCAGGTACTTATATAGCGCTGTCAGTTTACGCAGCACTGTACATATATATTGTATATTCGCATCAGTCCCTAACCCTCAAGCGGGGTACAACCTAAGGTCCCTAACTTCCATTCATACATACACATACTAGGGCCAATTCAGACAGGGTCTAATTTACCTACCAGCAAGTCTTTGGAGTGTGGGAGGAAACCGGAGTGCCTGGAAGAAGCCCATGCAGGCACAGGGAGAACATGCAAACTCCAGGTTGGGATTCGAACCAGCGACCCTTGTACTGCCAGGCGGAAGTGCTAACCATTTAGCCACTGTGCTACCCGTTCCAATTACTCATTGGAACTTTTTAAAGCCCATTTCCCACTTCCCCCCCTTCCATACAAGTTGGACTTTTAAAAGCATATGGACTTTAAGTTCATCTTTTTACTTCTCTAGCGCCAATATTTATCTATTGTTACTAAATGTTGGGGTTTACATCTACTTTAATGTGTACATCTCCACTGTGTAGTTTGACTTGCCCCTCCTGCCTTTATTAGTGTAATAGTAAGCCTCAACATTTCATAGTGGGAAGGACGGGCCAGAGTTTTGACTTCATGTATATAAAGTATTTAGATGGATTGGTCCTTTAACTCTGTAAAAGTAACCACTTGTCAACTGCTCTACCCACGCTGTCATTGGCTCCAGTAGGTTTCAATCTCCAGTTTCCAGCCAGCGATTCATGGCCCGAACTCAGCAAGCGATGGAGCAGCTGACAGGAGAGAGATCTGTGAGTGTAAACAACATAAATCTCTCTCCTGTCAGTGGGGACATGCTGGTTTTTATATCTCTCTGCAAAGCAGGGAGATAAAAACTAGCACCTCCCTTAGTAAAAACACTGCACAGTACACAGTTTAAACACTCTCTAACACACAATTAACACTTTGATCGCCCCAGATGTTAACCCCTTCCTGCCCAGTGCCAGCTGTACAGTGTCAGTGCTTTTTATTAGTGTCACTGGAAATGGCATTGGCAGTTAGTCATAGCTTAACAGTGTCAGTTAGTGTAAGAATGTTGCCGTACTATCGCAGTCTCTGATTGCTGTCATACTAGTATAAAACAGCTATAGATACAAATTGCCAGTATATATACCACAATTTGTACCAAAGAAATGTAGCAGTATACATTTTGGCCTAAATTTAAAAGAATTTTTTTTTTCATTTTTTATTGGATATGTTTTATAGCAAAAAGTAAAAAAATATCCTGCCCAAAAAATGTTTTTTTTTTTTTTAGTACAAAAAGTTAAAAACTCAGTGGTGATCAAATACCACCAAAAGAGAGATTTATATGTGTGAAAATTTTTTTTATAAATTTCATTTGTGTACAGTTATTGCAAGACCGGTGAAGTAGTGCAGCGCCATATACACAAAATCGCAGGTCATGAGGGGGGTAAATATTCCGGAGGGTATAATTACCTCTGGTTTGGGGGATGAGGAGGTAGGTGAAGAAGACGGCAGCCTCTTTTCTCGTCCGCGTTCTCTGTGAACAAGTTTGCTGTTTGGCTGTTTCAAGGTTCTTTTCAGCTCATTAATACTGGCCTGGTGCTTCAGTAGGACATCTTCTGACTTGTCCAGGAACTAAGTGAGGGATATGACAAACACAAGTTAATAGCCTGTTGCAACCCCTTCACTCTACCACATGAACCATACCTCTCTGGCAGTGAAGGGGTTTCCGGTAATTCTGAAAACCTGGGGTTTGAAAATGAATAAGCTAGGTGCAGGGTTCTGGAAGGTCTGGCGTTCAGGTGTAACAGCAGGCTCTTTAAAGTGGACCTGTATTCCGTATTAAAGGTAAAGAAAAATTCCTGCTCAAGATCAGACACCACAAGATAGCTATTATTTTCTTTTATTAGCCAGAAATGGGCATTCGGCCCACCTCTCTGATATAGTTTTACTTCATTACTGGGATCTAACGTACCCTTACCTCATGACTAAGCCCTGCCACCTGCCATTCCATTGTTCAATTAAACTGTATCATTGGCTGGTGACAGCATCAGTGGATAGAGCACTGGCAGTCGATGTAGTTAGCTGTAAAGTCGTCTAAGTCAGGGTCCAGTAACAAAGTGCAACTAGATAGGAGAAACGGAACATCTTGGGGTGTGTGTTCTTTGGCATGACTTCTACTTTTAAATATCTAAAGTAGAATACAGGTTCATTTTAAGATGCACCGAGATGAGAAAGTACGTGCAGAAAGGTAGGAGAGGTAGGAAGGAAGGTGTCTAGGTGGCAGGGAAAGAGTTGTTGGGAGGTTTTGTATGAGAACATGCTGGGATAGGCAGGTAATCATGGAGGGTATGTGGTAATCAGGTTGAAGTACACCTAAGGACTCATTTTTTTTTTATAAAGTGAAGAAGTGCTAAACCCCTGTCAGTTTGATGTCCTCTTGGGGAGACTTTTCTTCATTTCTGGTCCTGTAGACATGACAGTGAGGGAACTTAAAATTGTGGATTTTCCCATACTTTCTGTCAGGAATGGACTCGCCAATAGTGGTGGGGACTCACCTGCCTTGTGGGTTGCAGTACCAGGACTGGCCAGCAGGTGCTCTCAGCAACCAGAGGCTCACTTCTGCAGTCAGCCAAAACACCTGAGGCTGATTGCAGGAGGTGCATATAAGGAATGGCCAGACTTGCAATCAGGGCCTTGGTGTATGTTTTCCCAAGAGCCCCTGTACCTGCATCCTGTCGGCTTCCTGTCTGATCCTGCTTGATCCCTGACTCTGATTGAACTCCGCCTGTCCTGACCTCTGCTATTCCTGCCCACTCTCCAGTCTGCTCCTTTGGTACCTTGTCTGCCTGATTGTTTCTGACCCGGCCCGTCCGACTACGCTTAGTATTGTTCTTTTGTTATCTGTTGGGGGTTTTGGTTTGGTTTGTTTGCACTGTGTTTATGTTTAGTCTTGCACTGCGTTTATGTATTGTTTAGTCTTAAATAAATGATATTGTTTATACTATATCTGAAGCCTGCGTTTCACTGTGTCAGTCCACACACCTCTGGTCATACCCGGAGCCCTGACACTTTCAGTCAATGGCCATCAGGCCAAATAAAGAGAATAACTCTCACCAACAGGGACAGGGACACAGACAATAATTTAAACCTGACAGGGGTTCTAGCCCCTCTCCACTAAATCCACCCAAACATTTGGGTTATAGATACACTTTGATGTTATGTAACACACTGCTGTCCTTATTTAAAGGGAGACTATAATATCCAGTTTTACTCGAAAATTATTACATACTACTCATTAAAAGTAAAGTTTTTCATCTTTTACTTATGAATTTATTTGATATAATCTTTATTTTCTAAATAAACATTTATTGCAGGATCCATGCATTACTCTCAATTTATAAAATATACTGAGCTTTCTGATTAGAAAGTCCAGCACTACATACAAGCTTTTTGGCAACCTGTTCTAACTAATCAACACATCTCTGTTGTCTCCGCTAGGAGAGAAGAAGGGCTGTGTCTGTTATTTTTATCTCATTTTTGAGCAGCGGCAGACGGATCCACCTTGTGTTTGCGTTGATCTCTATCTGCTGACAGCAAGTGGTAAATATGAGATATTCCTATGCAATATTTCATATTTAACTGGTTAAACATTTCATTATTTTAATTTAAATTCTGAGCACAATAAAGCAAGAAAGAAAATATATAAAACACAGTGGAGTAGATTTACTAAAACTGGAGCAATCAGAATCTGGTGCAGCTGTGCATGGTACCCAATCAGCTTCTAATTTCAGCTTGTTCAGTTAATCTTTGGCACTAAACCCAGAACGCTGATTGGTTTCTATGCAGAGTTGCACCAAATTTTGCACTCTCCAGTTTTAGTAAATGATCCCATTTGCAGATTGCCTTTAAAGTCTGATTTCTGACAAATTCTGCATTGCAGGTAGGAGCCGTAACAACAAAATTAGCTGTGTACTACCTATTTGACTCCAAATTTGTTCAGGCTCTTGAAGACCCCGCTGAATCTTTTGCCTTTATACATCTATATGCATTAACTTTGCCTTTCCCCAGGACAGTAAACTTTTTGAAAGCCTTGACCATTATAAGTTTCCACCAATCTAAATATTTTTTTATTTAATTCCCCAATCTTCAGTTTTTAAGATGTCAAAGGACATCTTCAAGCTGTTATAGGTGTGTATTAACTGAAAATTCTATACATACAGACACAACTGTGCTGCAAAAGACTCCCTACAGAAGCCGTGACTTACCAAGGACTATGCAAGATAAAAGCCTAAGTAAACATAAGTAATGGTATTGAGATAATATATTTTTATTGTTGTGTACAAGACTATTAAAAATATAACATTCACTTTGTATGAATGTCTTACTAATTAGGTCACTATCCACCTATGCCTGATGAATCAGTTTTGCATTGTTGGCCGAACAACATAATCTTTTCTAAACACAGAATGGCCTGAGGACTTTAGTATGAAGATATCCTCACTAGAACACTCAGTTACACCCAGTTGCTTTTGCTACAATGCCAAAATTTGGCATCTACTAATGCATTCTCATTAAAATACCTGTTCACATTAAGAGGAATTTTATACCCTCATTCTGCCTGCCTATAGGAGGATTGGACACTGCAAACAAATTGTAGGCCCAGTGTGAATAATAGCCGTTGGCTGACTTCAGCTCAGGAGCCACCTGAGGGACCAACACCCAAGCTGAAATCAGATGAAGCCAAACCCCTCATCTGGTAAGGGGAAGAAGGCAACCAGACCAGAAAAAGATGGGGAACTGTGCCTGATGCTGGTGGACCAAGAAGAATGGTCACGTAACTAGAGAAAAACGTCTCTGAATTTATGGGAGAGAAAAAGACCAATAACCTGAACAATAGTCAACAAGGAGAGAGAAAAAACTCCCTTGTAAGAACTGAAACCAAACACAGGAACCTAACAATGGTTTACCAGTAAAAGGGAAACTGGGCTAATAAAAAAAGACCCTAAGTCTCCACTAATTAACCTAGAGATGCCCTCTTCTGACCTAGTGATTTCCCCTGTTAAGTTGAATCACTGGTAGATTCACAGTAGGTATGGACCACTGTTTTGCAGATAAGCGGTAATAAATCTAGTAGGTGTCCAGAATCCGTCAGGGTGCTTCCAATCCCTATAGAGAAATACCTTAAAGAGCAGATGTAGTAGGAAGCTCTTTGCAGCTGCAGGAGCTTTGCAAAACTCAGGACTGGAAATAATAGTCTGATCCTCTAAATGCAGGGTAGTATGTACTGCATACAGGGGCGGACTGACCATTTGGAAACTCGGGCATAGCCCAAGGGCCCAGGGTCAGTAGGGGGCCCCATGAGATGCCCCGGTTACCTTTTTCATAGGCTTTTTTGCGTTTGGGCAAGGACACAGGGGCTCCATGATCTCCTATTGCCCGGGGGCCCCATGAGTTGTCAGTCCGCCCCTGACTGCATAAGAGCTAAAATGAAGCAGAAGACTGAAATTCCTTAAGGATACTGTCTTCAGGGAGAGAGAGTAAGGTGACCAAAATTCAGAGTCAAAGACGGTCACTCCTCTAGAGCTGCAGATAGATCAGCAATAGACTTTGCGGCTGAAGGTGCGGGAGTGCACCTATTTCTTGTGTGGTCGTAACCAGTGAGGAAATGGGTGAATTTGGCCACAAAGTCTTGTGTGACTGTTGAGGAGGCCCTGGTTGATAAGGCTGACTCACGCTCACTTGACAAATTTAAAGAGGACTCCAATGATGAGGCAGACCTTATAACCATAGGGTATTAGGATTCCATACTGCAGACATAACGTCCACTGAATTATTAAAAGTATGAACTGAGGTCACCTGTTGCAGTGGAACTGCTATGTCTAGATAAAGATATATTGCAACCATGTAGTGGTAAAGCACAGGGTGCACTTAGGGTGTGAGGCAAGACTCACAAAACCCACACAGCTGGCAGCTGATGAGGTTTGGATGGCCGGAGGTGATCAAGTGATGGCTTGAGGTGACTAGGGTCACTGTACGCAAGCTCTAGGAATGGTTTATAAATGAGAGTTTCACGTTTCTCTCGGCAAAGCAGGAGCAGCAGTTGAGGGATACTTCCTTGATGCCTAATGGCAGGAAATAGAGCATACAACACGCCACCCAGCAGATGACATCATCGCTTAAGCTTGGTACAAAAGGGCCAAATATCGGCCAGTATCGGCCTGTGTGTACTGCAGCCTGTCCGACAGAAGCCGGAGGAATGTATGGCTTCTGTTGAAAAGGCATGCTGGAAAAATATCGGAATCTTATCAGTGGCCATTGGCTGCGAGTGCTAACCAGTGTTCTGGTGGGAGGGGCAGTCCCCCTGTCATAACACAATATCTCAGAGGGGAGAGCAATGTGATAACATTGCATAGTTAGTACAGAGACCTCCTTGTGAGTGCCTCAGTTGGGCTAAAAAAAAAAAAAAAACTCACAATGTGTACCAAGCATTAGCCCCTTAGACCTAATCCATTCTTCATGTAAGACTGATGGAAAAGGGGGATTTCAAAGGATCTTAGCAAGCCAATTAATGAAGCAGCTCCAGGTGCTCAGCCTGATCAACCTACTCTTTAGAGTAGTCTTTAGAGTCAGGGCAAGCACTGAGGTAATGCAAATGGCCTTGGACCTGGAAAGTGCTCTGCAGCCAACTTGCTACCAGAATGGGTTCTGAATATAGCTGCAACTGAAGAGACCAGCTCAAGCAGCAATTCAGGAAAGAATCTTGATTGAAGAAAAAATGCTACCAAAAAAGGTTACACTTTTTCAAGGAGAGCTAGAGAAAAGATATCCATTCTTCTAGGACACTAGCAAAAACATGCTGGTTGTTTAAGGGCTTCTCCTGGGCTGGCCTTTCAATTTCTTTTGTTTGCTTTTTGTAACCTGGCAATATATGAATTCCTGTATCTCTCAATGGACAAGAAAGAATCAAAACTACCCCAGCCTCCCACCTTAGGAAGATCCCTCCTTCCTGCTCCCACACAGGACCCGCTGTGGTGGCTCAAACCTCCTGTGATGTCTTCATCCAGTGCCAGGTTGCTTGTGCCTACACGCTAAAGCTGTCTATACACTATATGAATTTATGAATTTTGGCCAGTTCTTGATGACAGTTCAGGGTAAAATTTATCGGCCAGGCTGCAGACGTCATCAATAATAAATATGGACCTGGGGGAAGGTGGAGGGTGTTACATGCCTCTGTGTATGACTGACTGCGATCATTTTTCATTTCTGACCTTTGACACAGCACTTGGGACAACTGTACTGCCCTCAAAATGGAGCTCTCCAAAGGTACACCAGTCCATGGTTTTTATTAGGATATTGCTGGAATAATACCAAGGCACTGTCCATGAGCAGATTCTCCAGTACATTTTATTAGATTTTATTATTACATTCTATATGTAAATTTGGTCTTCTGTATATTACAGAATGTAAAGTGTAAATGAACTTTGAACATACCTTTTTCCTTAATATCTGCCCCTGTGTTTGAAAAAAATATATTATGATGTGTTTTCTTTACTGAAGATAAATTTGGTTTCAGCAACATGGCTTGGCTTTGAGTTTGTACTCATCTTTGCTGTATAGTTGTTCCTGGGCTCCACTAAACAGGGCTGTTTGGAGACCAGAGAGTTGCTCTGCATAGAGGTGAATGATCAAGCTGTCTCCTGGAAGCAGATGCACAGCAGCCTTTACTCAGAGCCAGGAGGCTGCGGGATGCATTTATGGAAACAAGACTTCCCTTCAGGAGAGGTAATGCATCCTATTGATATTTTTTTTTTTTCAGAAGCTGCTATGAAAAGTACAAATGTATAGTTTTTAATGATAATGCAGTTCTACTTTAATGATTGCAGAAGGCTCAGTTAGCTTTATACAGAGCAATAAACTTAAAAAATGTTAACAGGTATTCATAGAATTATTAATATAAAACTGCAGCAAGACTATACTTCTCAGGTGGGGTTTCTGCAAGGAGTCCTGAGGGAGATAACAGGCCGATTCAGCTTATTAGTGTCTATACATACAGAAATATTAACTATGGGTGGATTTGCAATATAAAGATAACCTGTATGATCGCTGCCATTGCTAACCTTCCTCTGAAAATGCAAGCTGCATGGCTGTTTGGGATTTAGTTACTTTCAGGGACCCTGCCTGGAACCCTGATCTGCATACTTGTTCTTGCTCAATGGCTCATGCTTCGTCATGAAGGCCAGGCAAATAGCATTTTCTGAGAGAACAATGGCAGCTTACAAGTATCTTTCAGTCGTGGTTTCCTTAGTCCAAGGCCGGGGTGCTCAACCTGTGACCCACGGGCCACATGTGGCCCTCAGAGCACTCTGATGTGGCCCACAAAATCAAACCAGGGAAGTGCACTTCTATTATATTCTGAATGCAGTTTTGGCGTGCTTTTAGACAGTGCACCACACTCGCAAGATATAATAAAAGTCTATGGCAAAGCGCAGCTAACCCGAAGGAAAGCCGCAGTTGCACTTCGCCGCACCTGCAGTGCCGGCAAACACCAGTGCATCAGTGTGAAAGCAGCCTTATAAGTGGCTCAGGAGAGTAATGGCTTTTTACGTTTGCAGTTTTGAGGACGGTAAAACCCCATAATTGCGATGTGTCTTTACCACATACCCCCAACCAGGGGCAGACTGACCATTTGAGCACTCGAGCACTGCCCGAGGGTCCAGGGTCAGTAAGGGGCCCCATGAATTGCCCCTGGTACCTTTTATAGGCTTATTTGAATGTGCTTTGAGTGTAGGCAAGGACACAGGGGCCACATGGTCTGCCCTTGCCCCCAACCACTGGTGTAGCATCAGGGGTTGCAATGGTGACCCCACCCCATGCTCCAGTGCGCCCGTGCAGCCTCCCTGTCACATTGTTTTACATTTGGGCAGGAGGGGCAGTATATACAGGAACCAATTTCCCTTTATTTTCCTCCAGCAACTGCTAAAAGCCGGCTTCTCCTCTTCTCCCTCCCACTGGCATTCAGCGGCTGCAGGAGGAAAATGTTCATTATGCTATTTAAAATGCAAAAAATAAAATTCTGAACCATTTCATTTCATAGTGGCCTGCGACTGGTTTTTAAATTACTTAAGTGGCACTTGCTCTTAAAAAGGTTGAACATCCCTGGTCTAAGGCATATAAAAACCTCACCTTACATCAATACTCCTCCTCTGGATAGCTTCCAGAGTCCAATGCGATTGTGGTCATTACAGTAATGATAGTCAAGTGTCATACTTAGTTTTTAATTACCTGGTTGGTTGGTTGTTAGGTTGCTGTGACTCTAGATGAAGTTATATATGTGTGGTTGGGAGGAGTGGTAACAGGTGAACAGAGTATAGGATAGTTTATAAGACAAGAGTGATGGCTTCCATGAAGAGAGGAGGTTGATACTGAGGTAGACCAAAGGGGGAGCTAGCTGGATGCTGGGTTATAGGACAGGAGGATGGGAGCCAGGATAGGTAAATGGATGTTTGGTTATAAGTGGGTACCTCCTTGTGCCGGGGAGTGCTCTCTTGCTCCGACTGGTAGCAATAGGCAAGAAACAGAAGCAAGCGAGTGAGTGTGAGAAACAAAGCTGTACAAAACAGACACATATGGCTACATGGAATTGAAAATCAGTGCCCATAGCAAACAGACTTCTATCTGAGGACAAAATATAAAGCATGGTAAACAAACATGGTGGTAGACAAAATTAAATGAAACAAAGGCTACAAAATATATGGAGAAAGCCAAATTAATTAGCAACAAACTTGTGAACACAAGACAAAACGGACTTGCAGACATTCTGTAAAAATTGTAAATTACAACTCCTGCTGAGCCATTTCTCTTAGGAAGTCTCAGCCACAACTACAATGGAATCTAGAACCCTGACACTGTTGCTAGCATGACCTAAATGCTTTACATATCTTGGGCATTCTACATGAGTACTCCCAAATGGAGGCTGATGTGAGACATCCTATAGTCCTTATAAGAGCATTGCACTATTCTAGTCTGCCATCCTTGTCTGGAAAATAATTTCAGGATGCAAGCATATAACATGATCACAAGATCAGGGTGACATGACTTTGATGGTTTAGGATCAGCCAAACAAATAATACATTATTTGAAACATGTAGCATGACAAAGGAATTCTGCCTATCTTGACTAGATAAAGAGCAAACTAGTTAGGATGGGTTACTATCCTTGTTAAAGCTAATTGTCAAAAGAGTTAATTCAGGGATAGACTAGTTAAAGTGGAACTTTAGTCTAAAAATTAAGACCTGCTAGATGACTTCAGGCTGGCCCCTTTTGCAGGAATAGCTATGTAAAACATTACAAATAAGTGCCTGCTCTGCACATGCTTAGTTGCGCTTTATTTTTCAGCACTATGCTGAATTTGTACAAGCCAATCTGCTAAGAGCCTAAAGATTTAATACTGCTCAGGAGCTCTGAGCTTCAACAAAATGGCAGCCTCCAGCAAGGAAAAACTGTAACAACGCTGGAGGCAATTTACAGCACACACTAGTTTTGGTAGCATAGTTATTAATCTGGAATGTATGTTCTAAAGAGCATTTTTTTTTTATTATGTTTTAAGTTGTTATGGGTAAGGTTCTGCTTTAATGTAAAACTCAGGACCCAATTAGTGAGGTCTAGAAGCCAGCAGACGTTTGAAGGGCCCTTTCACACTAGTGCATTACAGTGTTTTTGATTTACTTTGAAGGGCAGCCCAACTCTCCTAGGTAGCACAGTACACAGATGGAAACCATCTCTGCATTGTGGTATGCTGCATTCTACTGGATTGAGGAACATTGACAGCCTGTTCAAAATGAATAAACTGCCTTAACACAACACATGGTAACACCACACATCACCTGGTTAACGCTACCACAATGCATTAGGTGCGAATGGACCATAAGGTGGCTAGGATGTCCCTTGACAGTTGGAAAGCCACCATACCTGGCTCCTGGGATTTGTCCAGGCCTGAATTAGCTGATGTGGTTGCTTCTTCTGACTGTTTCATCTTTACTGAGTTCTGAATGTAATGAGCTAGTTGGGGATATTTTAACATTATGGTAAAAGCAGGTGTCAATACCCATTGACAATATACTGACTTAAACACTTCCATTAGGTTGTAAGTTAGTCATACATGAGCAGATTAGTCTATCTGAACCTCCTATTGCATGCAGTTGGCTGATCTACAGTAGATATGGGCATCAGTAATAACTGACCATGACTGAATAATGTCCAGACTGTCCAGAAGCAGCCTGTACAAGAACTCAGTCAAATAAGAATCTTACATGTGCATCATCCAACCAAGCCCCTTAGTACCTAAGTAAAAATCTATTAGCCTTGTATGTTGGAGCCGGGCAGATTATCACTCTTTCTTGGCAAGTAATCAGTCCCTGTATAAACAACTTTCGTTCTCAAACACTTGCAATTGACAAACGAATATAGAGATACATGTAGATGAACTATTTAAATATGTGCATAGAAGTCATCTTACCTTAAGCTCTTTGATTTTGGTTGGAGTGGTCACTTCTTCCTCTTCTTCTTCCTCTTCTTCTTCTTCTCTTCATCTCCCTCTCCTGGAGATGTCTTGTGATTTTTCTCTGGGGTAGATTCATGATTCTCATTCAGAGCACTTTGTTTAGAAAGTCCTTTAAAGAGCAGTAAGTGGGAGTATATGAATATAAGACAAGAAGATATAAATTAAAAATTATATTACAAATATGTTCGTAATGCATCTCGTAGCTGTCATTCATTTTACGTGTTTTATTTATGTGGAGCACCATTGTGCTGTAAAACATACAGTAATATACAATGAAATACCTGAGAAGCTTATCAAAGAACTGAAAAAGGAAAAAAAAAATTGTTTTTGCCCATAGCAGCCAATTATATGCCAGATTTTTTTGATCAGTGCAGATTTATATATGAAACAAATTCTCTGAGTTTAATTAATTGTCCTTTTTTTATACCCCCTTAGGCCTCATGCACACAGGGCATTTTTGCAGCCACTTTTAGGGGTGTCAGGCATTTTTTTTACTGCTTCCAAATGGCCCTCTTTGTTATCTTATGTGTCCATGCACACATAGACTTTTAGAAGCTTTTAGTAGCAGTTGCATTTACTAGTAGGGGAAAAAAAACAGGGCCAGTGCGTCCAGGAGCAGCAGCGTTTTGGCAGGAAAAAACACTTGACTCAGCTAAACGTGTCTAAATGTGTCTAAACTCTAGCTGCATTTAGCACTTCAGAGTTAATTCATTTCACTGGCCAGAATAAATTATCACTCTGGCCAATTAAATTAATTAACGCCCATTGAATGAATTAGCGCTTGATGCTTGTAAACGCACCTAATTGCTAGTAAAGGCATTAGGTACTTTTACAAGTGCCAGGCGTTTTTTCTGCAAAAACGATGCTGCCAGGAGGACAGCTTCTAGGAGAGCTTTTTTAACATTCTGTGTGCATGAGGCCTTAATAGATAGATGTTCTTCATAGCCAAGTGTAAAGTTCTACACATGTAACTATACTATCTTCATTCTACCTTGGCAGGGAAAACTGCAGCCTTGCAGTGCTGAGGTTCTGGATTGCTACCAACCAGGGAAATTGTCTAATGTGGAAATGTTTACTTTGTCTTATGTGTGCAAAAGTGTCCTTCAACAATCCAAAACATATTGCCAAGTGTATTGGCTTCTACCCAAATTTGGCCACAGAATAAGCTTGTCTATGTGGTTATGATAGGGAAATTATGAGGTCAGAGACAGATATAAACAGCAGAATTTATCAGGTCTTCATACATTTGAAAATACATCTATGTAAGAATTCTTCTAACATTCTTATGTCTCATATGTCTTTATTATAAAGACTGATGGCAAATAGTAAAACAATTCAGGGCAAAGGGACAGTATCAACTGATAGCCCACCTCCCTGCAAAGTAAATTCACCAGTCCGCTTTACCTGATCACCCTGGGGAAACTTCATTGTCAGATGATGCCAGAGCTTACCCGGATGGATGAAGCCACTGCCCCTCCCCACATGACATTGTTTGGTGTAACAAAAAACAAAAACAAAAGTGCACCAACCTTGCGCATCACCTCAGTGAGTAAAGGGTAAATTTATTAAGTTAGGATGTATACTCACAAAAGTAGCAATATAAAAAGCATATAAAAATCCAACATCAGCAGACACGTGCAGGTCCTATCTGGAGGGGAGACTCTCAGGATGAAGTTGACGCATTTTGACGGGTGATGCCTTCTTCGTCAGAGCTCTGAGAATGAGGTAATGCGCAAGGTTGGTGCGATTTTGTTTTTGTTCTTTGTTACAGCTGTCATTGGGCTTCCCCAGCCTTGAGTTTGAGCTGCACAACCTTTGATCTGCCACTGGATGAACTTTCATATATGGTTCAACCCGCTGATTTCTGATCTGGGTCTCTGAGCACAGGAGGTTTTGTTTCTGTTTCCACATGACATTGGGCCAGACGATTGGCTGCTCAGTCCTGAGCACTGTCACATGGGGTGGGTAGGCTAGGGGTCACATGTTCCCATATACTCTGAAGTTCTGCTCTGTTAGACCAGTGAAGTGATGAGGTAGCAAAGGAGCCCAGTATTGTTTATATGGAAGGGGGTAGGCTGTCAGAGGACACTGTCATTTTGCTCTGTATGTGTAAATGATACAGTGGGGTTGATTTACTAAATTTGCTGAGGGCAAAATCTGGTGAAGCTCTGCAGAGAAACCAATCAGTTTTCAGTTTTTTTGTCAAAGCTCAATTGCAAAAGCTGAAGTTAGCAGCTGATTGGCTACCATGCACAGCTTCACTAGATATTGCACTCTCCAGTTTTAGTAAATCAACCCGTGTCTCTATAAGGGATCCTACAGATATCCAGTATCACAACCGGTGGTCATGTTTGAAAGAAAACCTGTACTGAGAGGAATATGATGGCTGCCACTGGTGATTGCTGATCTTCTTCCAGAAATGCTAAATGTCTGGCTGTTTCTGGCCTCAATATGATATGATATATTAATCCAGAACAAACATTTAAATCAGTAAAGCCATATTGAAAACACAACTTCTTATCCGCATACTTGCGCCAGGTCAGCACGGCCACTGGATCAGCATGACAGCCAGGGAGCAAGTATTTTCCATAGGGAAAGTCATTAGTGGCAGCTTCCAATACTTCCTTAGTACATGTTTCCTTAAACCACCTACAGATGCTTCAGGAGAACAAAGAAATGCATACCTTGACATATGCTGCAATCTACATTAATTTCAGCGACATGAATTACAAGGTCACTTTACCCATTTCCTGAAAGCTTGTGTATTGAGCCATTTATATTAATCCTCTTTTTCTGAGGTGTCAGGGAATGCATATTGGGTGTCAAGCCTATGCATCTCTTAACAAGATCAGTAGAACGGCCACAGCCTGTGCTTTGTAATTCTCTCTTTTTGTCTTCTACCTACATCACCAATGACATTCAAACTTCCAAGGCAGCTTTTGATCTGATTGGTGGCTGTGTAAAACTTCCTAGTACTGACTTTTTTTTTTTTTCAAGCTTTCTGATTGTGTTCCGGGATCACCAGATAAATAACCGAAAAGAATGGAGGGATGGAAGCAGTACAGAAATGTCTGGATGAAGGACCAAACTACTCGGAAGGTAAGCTATGCTCAAGGTCCAAAGTGACACTAAACCATAATCCTCTTCAACTGAAATCATTTGTACAAATCAACAGCTTAATAGTGTTCTAATTACTTTGATTGAAAATCGTTTCTTACTGCACTTAAAAATCCTCTTGTTAATGCCCAAATATTTAGCATATACAAAAACAAACAAAACTGCGCTTAAACTAACGTGCCAAAAAATACAATTGGTGCTCAAATCATTGCTGCCACTTCTAATAAATCAATGTGACCAAAAAAAGGAACAACTTAATGTAGTTCAGTAGTGCAAAATATCATATAGTGAATAAAACAATAAAACTAAATATCAAAATATAACTTTTGATGTGAGAAAGTCCTAAATAAAAGTCCCTCAAAAATCTTCAAGTTCTCCAAAGAGTTCACCACATGTACAAAATAAAATGTCCCCTCTTTCGGGTGTACACTCACCAAATGAATATGCCGCCCGCTCTCATGGTTGGCCAAATGACTTAAAGAAAACAATCACCATCTCCCATATACCGAGATGTCACTCTCTTTAGGATGCACAGGTATCATTCCATGGCAGGGGCGGACTGACAACTAATGGGGCCCCCGGGCAATAGGGGATCATAGGGCCCCTGTGTCCTTGCCCAAACTCAAAAAAGCCTATGAAAAAAGGTACCAGGGGCATCTCATGGCCCTACTGACCCCGGGCCCTCGGGCAGTGCCCGAGTTTCCAAATGGTCAGTCCGCCCCTGTTCCATGGACTGGTTGGTAATTGATATACAGGCATTGAAAATGGTCACAACGACCCTTCTTCCTCCTCTGTGATCACCTCCCAAATGGTCATGTAAGGGAAAAAAACACAAAAGAGAAACCCAAATGGTGCAGTACAAAATGCCTTCTTTACTGGGCCAAATAGATAGCCACTTACAAGAATAAAAAGAATATCAAGCTCAAAAATGCTGCAGATCGTGAAACCGAACCATGTGAAGCCCTGCAGTGCTCTAACCACCGCCGAGTGACACAAAATGGCGCCAATCACAGAACTTTCAGTTCTGCTTTCGTCACTTCCGGTTTCCGCACAATTCCCACTGACGCGTTTCTTCACTTCCAACTTCCTCATAGGGCCCTGTTTTATTCACTATATGATATTTTGCGCTACTGAACCACATTAAGTTGTTCCTTTTTTTAATGCCCAAATATGTCTTCTTCCCCCTCATTTCCATTCTATTTGGATGAACAATGCATGTAATTTGCGGTCGTGGAACTATCCGTATTGAAACTACAATTCCCATAATTCCAAGGGGCATTTTTCTTTTACTAAACATACGTTGTAATGAGTCGCATGAGTTCTGTTGTTCTGGGTTCTGCTCTCAATCAAAAAATCTATAAAGGGGTTCAGGTGGGCCTTCCAGAGGCACAATGGACTGCTACATCCGTAATTATACATGAAGCAAAGGGTATTCTCCCATGGGACTTTGATGCAGATACACAATATCTATCATAAAATAAAAAAATCAAATAAAACTTTTATTTTATGATAGATATTGTGCAGCTGCATCAAAGTCCCAGAGAAGAATATCCTTTGCTTCAATCAAAAGATTGGAGGATGTAACTTGATTAGGTTGAGGGGAGGATTGAAACATAGATGTGTATCGGCACATAAATTTGTATTCTCTCAGGAATTAAAATCATATAAGAAGTTGTTTATACAACAAGTATAAAATTTATACTTACCTAGGTGGATGCTGCATCTACAGTATCCCCAGCCGGCTCTAAGGGTGAGAACTGAGCGATCAGACACCACCGATCGCTCATTTCCCCAAGCTGCTCTGAGTAGACAGTTATGACTGTTAATCACTGATGTCTGCTCTGCCCCCCTAGTACTCAGAGCACTGAGCTGTGAAGGGGGCCGGAGCGGCTGGCTTAGGCTCCCAGCGGATCACTGAGAAAGTGAGCCAGGTGCCAGTCCAGGCTTCTGGCTGGATCCCTACCACATGGTCGTGATCTTTCCCCAGCCTGGACCGGCTCTGCGACATCAGCCGACAGTGGGCTATAGCCCACTGTTGGCTGAAAATGGGTCAAAGGAGTGCAGAGTTAACTGCAATCCTGTGATCCACAGGAGGAGTAAAGCCAAATGAGCTTTGGCTGTACTTCTCCTTTAAAGGGTGGCTACTGTCCAATGTTCAGAGGGACCATGGAGAATGAAAGTAGCCACTCTTTAGCGAGATGTCAGAGAACAGTAGCAAGATAAAGTCATTTAAGAGTGGTGGAAATAGCTGTGAGCAATAGAAAGTACTTTTTAACGACAGGATTACAGACTAGAATTTTTTTTTTACAGTCATGAGTTTAGTATCACTTTAATGCTCAATTTTTGCAGACGTGTGCCTTTAAGATGAAAATACAGTACAGCTACAACTACTCGCTAACCTCCCGCAACCTAATGGAAAAAAAATTACACTTGCAGGGTAAATAAATGAATTCTGTGCCCTTCTCGGGGAATGACTTCATTTGCAAATGTTGCATAAATCTGCATGATGCACATACCACCTTCAGCACTCTGTGACAGTGTATATCGCTTGCTGGCGGATCTCTTGAAGTTAGGAGCCGGCCGGTCTATCAAAGCACTTGCTTGCTGGGTCTGTGCCTGCGTACGCCCACTGTATCGGAATTTGGAGCCCATCACTAGGAAGCCCTTGGGGGCAGGTTCTGGAGAGACCAGCCTAGGAATGGGAGACAAGGTGTTAATCTTTGCTTTGTGTCAGCAGTATTATTTTTACACAGCAGTCATTTTTTATTTTTTTTATTAATGAAAAGGGCACTGCAGAGCAAACTTTAACCCTGTAATCTGGTTTGATGTAATATTCTTGTCTGACCTTAGGCATGATTTGTTCAGTAGAGCCCCCTCATTGTGTTGTGAACATTCTGGTATTACACAAGACAACCATGTCTCAGTAAACACACAGAGTTTGAAAGTCTGAAAGGTACAGAGATGGAATTTTAAATTTAACAACTGTTTGCGGAGAAGAGGGGAGGGGAAGGGAGGTGTTCTATAGTCCTACAACACTTCCTGTCATAGGGTGACTACACTCCCCCTCTATAGATACGGTACAGAGTGTGTTATCATTTTAGCACAGGAAGTGTAATCCAGGCAGGATCACCAGGTGAAATTATAAGAAAAAGCCTAAAAAGAAGACTAATGCAGCCAAATCATCTAATAACTGGTTAGCCGTAATATAATAAATGTTTGTTCTTGGGTTTACATGTGCTTTTAGAACCCACTCAATCCTGTGTGTTGTGGTGATGCACAGTTAATCACTTGCCATCCGCCTGCTGTTTATAAACGACAGGGAGGTGGCACTCCAGGGGCGGGTTGCCGTTCATAAACGGCACCCGCCTTTTCTAGCTGTGCGCGCTCCCTGGGAGCACGCAGCACCACGATCCGGTGCCCACTGTGTCCTCCGGACACAGTGAAACACCGATCGTCGGACGGGACTTGGATCCCGATCATGTGATCACTGATTGGCCAATCAGTGATCACATGCAAAGTAGTAAGCAAGATGTCACTTGTGACATTATTGCTTACTATGTGTGAAATCTGTGAATGATCACAGAGGTCACATGGTACAAGGCTATTCACAACAGCCTTGTAATATGTGACAAGCTGTGACCAATCACAGCTCACTCAGTATTTCTCAATGGCTGCAAGAATGCAGGCAGAGAGAAAGAGAAATGATTGCTTTTACATCCTATATGGGTGTAAAAGCAATCACTGTAAAAAAAAAAAAAAAATCTTCATCACTCCCCACAAGTAGTACAGTGTCACCATGGTGACACTGTACTGCTGGGGTGACAGTATGTAAAAAAAAAAAAAAAAAACATAATAATAATAAAAAAAAAAAAAAAAATGTAAAAGAAATGTTTAAAAATTATAATTTTTGGTTATAAACTAATTTGGCTTATTTTTTTTTTCTAAAAATATAACGGAATACATTTTGGTCAAGATTTATGATGAAAGATTATGTATTTGCAAAATTTTATAAGAAAAACACTTTCTTTTCAAAATTTTTTGACATTTTCATTTACATAGCAAAAAAAATAAAAATCCCAGCAGCGAATAAATACCACCAAAAAAAAGCTTTATCTGTCTAAAAAAAATGGTAAAAAATTCATATGGGTACAGTATTGCATAACCGCGCAATTGTCATTCAAAGTGCGATAGCGCTGAAAGCTGAAAATTGCCCTGGACAGGAAGTGGTTAAAGGTGTGTTTTAGCATGCATTACTGTAATTCTGCAGTGTGTTTCAGTGCCATTCTTTTTGAAGGCCATCCCAATGCAGCTAACCAGTTCATCACAAAGTGCATGCACGTTAACGCACCACAACGCACAGATGTAAATTGGTGGTGCCTATTCAAAATGCATGGGCTTTCTTACCGCAGCACACTAACACACAAAATACTGCATATTGAAACTGAATGAACCTTAGTCTTGGACAGAATAGAGAACCTTTTACTGTTTTTTCACTGATGTTTTTTTTTTGTTTTGCCTTCCTCTGGATCAACTGTGGGTGTAGGATTATAACTTTTTTTGTTTTTCTTCTATGGTTGAACTGGATGGACCTTTGTCTTTTTTCAGCCAGACTAACTATGTAACTATGTTTATCCCCAATCTTCAAGTGTTCTGTGCCTCCTGATTATTACCTGTATATTTGGCTCTTTAAGCTGCCGACAGATGGATCGAAATTCGGGTGGTTCAACAGGGACCAGATGAATATCGATCCATGTATGGGCACTGTGGTTGTACAGAAGTCGATCTACTAATCAGCTTCTGTACAACCTGCCTGATGGAAAATTTCCTCTCGATCAGCACTGCAGGTTATAATCTGTAACACTGATCACTGTATTCTGAGAGCAGGGAAGTCTCCTCGCTGTCCGAATACAACAGTTCAGTTAAGAGGATTCCCCTTCCTCCTCAAATGTGTGGATGGGGGAATCAGGTCAGTGGGTTGATCTAAAAAACAGACCCATCTATGGCCAGATTTGATCTGTAGTAAATGTTAATAGTACATAGTAACAGTGCAGTCACATCAAACTGGTTAGTGGTTTATACAGAAATGAGGAAGGAATTCCCCATCTGTTCTCCAGTTAATAAGCTACATTTTCGTATGTAGTTTTGCAGCTAAATACCTTCTCTGGAGGGAAATATGAGCATTTAAATGATTTCTATAATGTTAAGTTCCAAGGTCTGATAATCTTTTTCTGGAATTAAAGGAGAAGTACAACCAAAGCTTTTTTGGCTGTACTTCTGTGGATCACAGAAGTGTAGTTCATTCTGCACTTTTGTGACCTGTTTTCAGCTGACTCAAGTCTATTTATTACTTTATTATTATTTATTTCAGGTACTTGTATAGCGCCGTCAATTTACGCAGTGCTTTACGTATATATTGTACATTCACATCAGTCCCTCACCATCAAGGGGTGTACAATCTAAGGTCCCTAACTCACATTCATACATACACATACTAGGGCCAATTCAGACAGATTCCAATTAACCTACCAGCATGTCTTTGGAGTGCGGAAGGAACCTGGAGGAAACCCACGCAGGCACAAGGAGAACATGCAAACTCCAGGCAGGTGGTGCCATGGTTGGGATTTGTACCCAAGTACTGCCAGGGAGAAGTGCTAACTATTTAGCCACTGTGTTGCCCACAGTCTGCTGTTGTCTGACATCACTCAGCCGGTCCAGGCTGGAGAAAGAACCTGACTTCAAACTCGGGATCCACCCCAGAGTCTGGAGCGACACCTGGCTCAGCCTCTCAGCAAAGTGCTGACAGCCTTAGCAAGCAGCTCCCTCCACCTCGCAGAACAGCGCTCCAGTGAGCGATGGGGGGCAGAGCAGATACCGGTGACTGACAGTCACTACTCTCTGCTCAGAGCGGCTGTGAAAACTGAGCGGTCACCATTCTCTGAGTTCTCACCCTTAGAGCCGATGGGGGACCGATGGTGCATCCACCTAGGTAAGTGTAACGGGGGGAAAAAAATCATCCATACTGCTCTTTTAAGCAGGTATGGTCTGTTGTAGAGTATAGTATTATTCTAGTAATAAAACTGTTGTAGGTGAAAACCTATATAAACTCACCTGAAGAATGTGTGATGTTCTATGCAAACCTTCCAGAGGCGTTTTGCAGCTCGATGATTGGGTAATTTGAACCCAATGGTGCTCTCAAACTGCTCATACTAAAACAAAGAACAAGAGAGAGATACTACTTAGAGGCCTTACAGCAAGCTTGTAGAGGTCCATTATAACAGGGGTATTTTATGAAATCCTAACTAAAGGGTTAGTTAGGTGTAACCGGCCGCAACCAGTCATAACAGTTCTTTTACACTGCACCAGGCAAATGACCTGTGGAATCTAATTGGTTCGAAAAAAAACATAATTTTCTTTTCCTGCAATATTGATGCATCATCTTCATTGATTCAAGTGAAAAAAACAATTTCTGTTCAATCTCTTTTTTACTTTTTACACCACTTACCTCACCCGGCCGGATCTTGATATAGAAGTTGCTCCTTTTGTAAGAAATCTTTAAGATTTTGGGCCAGGCGAATCTGTTTATTCTCAGACGGTCTCTGTAGATCAAAAGCCCATTGGCACAGACACCTAGCATTATATCTATTCCTTCAGAGTCCTGGTAAAAAAAAAAAAAAAAAGAAACATGGAATTTAAAAGACGTGCATAACTTATTCAGATATAGCGACACGCCTGGATTTATATTATTTACCGCAAAAAGACACATTTACTCCAAGCCATTCCATAGCTATTATTGTTGTAGTATTTAACCACATTCTCCACACTTGCCAGTACATTTGGTACCCTGAAAACTGCATTAAGATCTATACAAAGGTCATAAAGCACTGCAATAAAAATCTTCATAAAAAATGTGCAAATTTCTGTATATAAAATAGTAAAAAAAAAGCAAAAAAGCTTCCTAGTGCCACATCCTAATGAAAACAAGAAAAAAGAAGCCGGACAATAAGTACGGCAAAAATAATGGATTTTTTTGGGCACAGTAAGGGACCACACAATAAAATACATACAGCCATTTATTGACATAAAAGAGTCATGTACTCTCTATAAGAGAGTACTGTATATGACTATAAGAGAGTATATGACTCTTTTATGTCAATAAATGGTTTTATGTATTTTATTGTGTGGTCTCTTACTGTGCCCAAAAAATCCATTGTCTTTGCTGTACGTATTGCCCAGCTTTTTTTTTTTTATATATAAAAGAGAATCATTTATACAAAAGCAACACATATGTTGCCCAAAATAGCTCATATTTTGTACACAAATAAATTGTTGAAAAATATTAATATAAAGTCCAAAAGTATAAATAGTTTCAAGTGTAGAAAAACATAAATCCCAGTAGTGCAAAATCATGCATCTTCAATGAAAGTGTGCTTCAAATGAAAAGACACAATCCTCCACCTTCCCCAGATCTAGGGGTGAATGCTCACTTCCAGAAATTGACCTCCCACCACAAAAGTCGATTTAGCATGTTGCCAGGCACCATGACCCAGAGAACATTTTCAATCTTCTCCAGCTTGTATATATAATCATAGGAACCACAAGAACCAGCTTCACATCCACATTACTTGATGAAATCGACAACAAAGATATCCATCTCTCAAGCTCAAAAAGAAGAGAAGCAAATCATAGTGCTCACCACTAAAAACACTTTATTAAAACTATAAAATTGCACTCACATTAAAACCAAACAGGCACTTCAGAATGGAATCAGCCAATATGAGATCCAATGCTTCCTGGGAGGATCTCTGCTGAGACAGGGATCCCTCCAGTTCTCATGCAGTCAGCTCAGTCCAGGATCACTGTAGCTACGTTCTACATTTCGGAAAAAAATTACATTATCAGGGGCAAGCCATCAGTGCCCCCGATGATGTCATTCATGATGAAATGTGTAGGGTGGTGCTACAGCAATCCTGGATTGCACTGACTGCAAAACGACTGGAAGGATCCCAGTCTCTGTACAGTGGTACTTGTTTATACGTATGTAGATCTACTTCTGTTCAACCACAGTGGCCATATGTGGATGGAAATGTGTCCCTGCTGAACTTTGATCCATGGGCAGCACAGTGGCTAAATGGTTAGCACTTCCGCCTGGCAGTACTAGGGTCGTCGGTTTGAATCCCAACCATGGCACCACCTGCCTGGAGTTTGCATGTTCTCCCTGTGCCTGCGTGGGTTTCCTCCAGGTACTCCGGTTTCCTCCCAACACTCCAAAGACATGCTGGTAGGTGAATTGGCTCCTGTCTAAATTGGCCCTAGTATGTGTATGTATGAATGTGAGTTAGGGACCTTAGATTGTATGCCCCTTGAGGATGAGGGACTGATGTGAATGTACAATATGTATATGTAAAGTGCTGTGTAAATTGAAGGAGCTATATATGTACTGGAAATACATAAATACTCCTTCCAAACAGCATTGAATCATATATTGGCTGAGGCCATTCAGAAGTGCCTGTTTGGCTTTACCTTACATGTGAGTTGCATTTTTAAAGTTTTAATTTTTTTTAAGTGGTGAGGACTATGGTTTGCTTCTCTTCCTTTTCAGCTTGAGAGAAGGATATCCTTTGTGGTCAATTTCATCAAGTAATGTGGTTGTGAAGAAGGGTCTTGTTGTTTCCTCTGATTGATTGTATATACAAGCCGGAGCAGATTGAAGATGTTCTCTGGGTCATGGTGCCTGCCAACATGCTGAATTTACCTTTGTGGTGAGGGTCAATTTCTGGAGGTGAGTGTTTACCCTCTAGGGCAGTGTTTCTCAACTCCAGTCCTCATGGACCCCCAACAGGTCGTGTTTTCAGGATTTCCCTCAGATGAAACAGCTGTGGTAATTACTAAGGCAGTGAAACTGACCAAATCACCTGTGCAAAATAATGGAAATCCTGAAAACATGACCTGTTGGGGGTCCATGAGGACTGGAGTTGAGAAACACTGCTCTAGGGGAAGGTGGAGGAATGTGTCTTTTTACTTGGAGCACAATTTATTTATTACAGGTACTTATATAGAGCCGCCAATTTATGCAGTGCTTTACACATATATTATACATTCACATCAGTCTCTGCCCTCAAGGAGCATAAAATCTAAAGTCCCTGACTCACCTTCATACATACACATACTAAGGTCAATTTAGACAGGAGCCAGTTAATCTAACAGCATGTCTTTGGAATGTAGGAGGAAACCGGAGTACCCGGAGGAAACCCACACAGACACATTTCATTGAACTATGCGGGTTTATGTTTTTCTCTACTTGGAATTATTTATACTTTTGGACTTTATCTGAATACTTTTTCAACAATTTGTGTGCACTATCTGAGCTGTTTGGATAACATATGAGTTATTTTTGGATAAAATGATTGTTGTCACATTTATACACACGTTTGCACATTTTTTATGGGAGATTGTTAACACATGGCTTTATATGACATTTGTATAAATCTTAAAGTGTTACTAAACCCAAGACCCTGCATTCTCTATATTTCATCTCCCACAGTACACACACCATAGAAATGCAATTATTTTAGTAAATATAACTGCTACATACATTTTCTCATCAGCAGTCTTGTGACTTCTATCAGTGTCTAGCTGAGCACTGTTTAATCTTGTAGGAGGAGTTTTCATTCTCCTCTGACTGTCCTATGAGGTTGCATGACCCCTGACCCTCTGTCTGGAGAGTGCCGATTGACCCTGTGCTGATCACATGCACCCTCCCAAAGAAAAAAAAACTCTCTAGCAATACTTACTAAATTGAGCATGTGCAGAGTTCTGTACTATCAGCAGATGGATTGGGGACAGTAGAAGAAGGGGAGGATCAAAGAAGACAGGATCAAACAGCTTTTTTACACAATGTGAAGGATTAACCCCTTAGGTTCCACAGTGAGTATAACAAGCATGCTTTACTGCATATATAGACTGATTTTACTGTTGTGGGTTTAGTAACACTTTACTGTAATTTACAGTGCAGCACATTTATACAAATTCTTACACTTTTAGGTGATTCAAGGTGCGTGCAGCTATAGTTAGGAATACATAGGGGCTGTTGCACAGATTTTTTTCCTTATCACATTTGATAAGGAAACAAGCAACAGGAAATGTAATCAAATGCAGGACATATACAGTATGTTAATGAGGCTCTCCATGAAGAAAATGAAAGCCTGTCTGTGGCGACAATATACAAGGGGTCTGCCAAAAAGTTTCTGTACTTTTATATATATATATATATATATATATATATATATATATATATATATATATAAAAAAAGAGTTTAATAAAGTGCGGAAACTTTTTGAGGAATCCTTGTATTTATTAAAGTAACATTGTGCCATGAGGACTCTACCCCTACCTTGATATCCTCTTCCACCAAGCGATCACCAAAGCTCACTGAAAAGCCGGCGTGTCGTTGCATTATGCACTGCCTCCTTTACGGTAAGCAGACTAGCAGCCAATCACCAGGCACTGGCAGCTAAAGTTCTATGCCGATTTCTGTTTTACATACAGTTTGAGATTGGCCCAATCCCTTTTCCTTCACCTTCAAAGTCTTCCTAATAGTAATTACCTTAGCGTGGTGTAGATCCACTCCATACATTGATAGTTTTTTGGCATTTTCTAGAAAATGTATTTCTGCTTCAGCTGGTGTCATCCCCCTGTTTTTGGAAAAAAAAAAAAAAACGGATGTTATAAGCTTTATCCAAGGTCAATTCAGCCTAAACCCAATGGTTTCTTATATCTGTCAGAGACTCCAGAAATGGGAACCTCAGTGCCTATGCTTGAAGGATTTGAACCAGGGGCGGACTGACCATTTGGAAACTCGGGCACTGCCTGAGGGCCCGGGGTCAGTAGGGGGCCACATGAGATGCCCCTGGTACCTTTCTCATAGGCTTTTTTGAGTTTGGGCAAGGACACAGGGGCCCCATGATTCCCTATTGTCCGGGGGCCCCATGAGTTGTCAGGCCACCCCTGATTCGAACACCAAGGTCTTGCGACTAGTGTGTTTAACCCGTTGACGCCGACGTAAGACAAATATGCGGCCTCACAGAACTGTTTTTTTTTTGTGTGAGGCCACATATTTGCATACCTATCTTTCTGCTGGGAGCGAACCGCACAGCGCTCTCCCAGCACAAAGACCGTGGTGTCACTGAGAGCCCCGGGTCCCGTTTTAAACGATCGGAACCTGGGATTACCCGATTCCAGGTCACATGATCACTGTGATAGCCTCAGATTGGCTATCACAGTGATCAGTCACTGTACAGCCCGCCCCCCTTGTGTTTTTTTTTTCTCTCTCTATGATTGGAGGAGAGAGATACATTGTATCTCTCTAACTCCTGGCATAGAGGGGAAAAAAATGTTTATGAAAAAAAAAAAGATAAATAAATATAAAAAAAATAAAATAAAAAAATAAAGAAAAAATACCTAGATCATGGTTTGATCTAGTTCACTGCCAGGGTAAGTGTTTGGGTCAAGGTCAGGGTCAAAGGTCAAAAGACCAGCTGCAATTTCTCCTGCGCTCTAGGGCCCAGACCGGTGGCAAATAGATGGAACCAACACCAGAGCAAGCGACCACCAGTATATTTCAAGGTTGTGCAGCTCCAAAACAGGGCTGGGGAAGCCCGATCGATACTGCAAAGTGAAACAAAAAACAAGAAGCGCACCAACCTTGCGCATTACTTCAGTAACAGAATTGAACCCCTCTGAGAACAGAATTTAAGAGCTCTGAGGAAGAAGGCATAGCCTTCGAAACGCGTCAGCTATACTGAGTGTCTACCCCCATGATGGGATTCGTGCTGGCTTCTTACCTTTGAAATCCCTTTGAGGACTACATGCCTGATTTTATTCGCTGTTTGTGAGTACCTATCTTCTATTAATAAATTCTGTTACTGAGGTAATGCGCAAGGTTGGTGCGCTTCTTGTTTTTTGTTTCACTTTGCAGTATCAAAGGTCAAAAGGTCAGGATTTAAAAAAAATAAAAATTGGTGTTAGTGTCAGTGTGTTTTAGGTAAAAAAAAAACAAAAAAAAAAACAAAATGCACAGTATTGTTTCTGGGCTGTACTATGGGTACAGACAACAAATAACATACACATATATGGTATCGCTGCGATCGTCAACAGCTGTAAAATTTATTTTGGGTTGTTCTTTGGTGGTAGGTTATGGTAGTAACAAGAAACACACAGCTAAATTTTAAAACAAATATTTTTTTTACTATTTTGGGCCAGTTTTCCTTTGATAATAAAAAAAAAAATCAGGAGATATCCATTACCATTTACTACCAAATGAAAGCCCAATCTGTCCTGAAAAAAACAAGGTATAATTCAGCTGGATATACAAAGTAGTTGTGATGATATGTGCGGTTTTACTAACACATGTCAATGTTGCAAATTTGTGCTTAGGCATTTAGATTTGTTTTATCCTCAGGCATGAAGGGGTAAAGGGCCTCACGGATCATAACCTTATGGGGTGGGGGATCCACTTTTCATGTTTGGTTTTTTATTTATTATAAATCATGAAGACTACAATGGGAACACCTGAAGGTGGGCAAGAACACCCAATACTTTAAAAAGAAAATGAATCCAGAGCTATGGCAGGGAGTACAGAATGTGTTGATGGAGAGAGGTACAGATGACATATTGAGTAGGCGTGAATCATCAACAAAAGGTCCCCAGTTTGTTACCAGAAAATAGTGTGGTCACCACATAAAAGGGGTGGATGCTTTGTCAGGCTGTGCACATCAGACTGCTTGGGAGCTTCCATGTATGTAGTATAATACAGAAGGGGAGGTTTTTTTTAGTATAATTGTGAAAAGAAGCAGCCCTGTTTTGGGGAAGATAGGGGTCACTCATGTGTAATTGTATAGGTAGTATATGTTAAGAACATGAATATACAAGGGGAATACAGGGCTATACCTGCCAGCAGTGATCACTGTATTCTGTTGGCTCGGAAGGCTCCCTGTGCTCCCTGCCAGCAGAACACAAAATCGCTGCGGGAGGGATTCGAGTCATTTTCTTTTCCTGAATCCGTTGAAAGAAAATTACATAATGTATGGCCTGCCTAACTCTGCTCTGGTACTGTACTTCCCATTGTAGTTCTCTCATGAATCATTTCACCAAAGATATAGGAGATGGGGGGCTTATTTATAATTACAGGTACCAGGGGTGGACTGACCATTTGGAAACTCAGGCACTGCCTGAGGGCCCGGGGCCAGTAGGGGGCCCCATGAGATGCCCCTGGTACCTTTTTCATAGGCTTTTTTGAGTTTGGGCAAGGACACAGGGGCCCCAAGATCCCCATGATTGCCCATAGGCTTTTTTGGGGGCCCAGGGGCCCCATGAGTATGAGTTGTCAGTCCGCCCCTGACAGGTAATTATATAGTGCTGTCAATTTATGCAGCACTTTACATACAGTGAAGGAACTAAGTATTTGATCCCCTGCTGATTTTGAATGTTTGCCCACTCATAAAGAAATGATCAGTCTAAAAAGAATAATAGGTGTATTGTAACACTGAGAAATAGAATAGCAACAAAAAATTCTAAAGAAATGCATGTCTAACAAATGATGCACTGATTTGTATGTTCATGAGGGAAATAAGTATTTGATCCCCTATCATTCAGCAGGATTTCTGGCTACCAGGTGTCTTTCATACAGGTAACAAGCTGAGATTAGAAGCAGTCTCTTAAAGGGAGTGCTGCTAATCTCATTTTGTTACCTGTATAAAAGACACCTGTCCACAGGAGCAATCAAACAATCAGATTCCAAACTCTCTAACCTACATTCACATCAGTCCCTAACCCTCAAGGGGTGTACAATCTAAGGTCCCTAACTCACATTCATACATCTACTAGGGCCAATTTAGACAGGAGCCAATTAACCTACCAGCATGTCTTTGTAGTGTGGGAGGAAACCAGAGTACCCTGAGGAAACCCATGCAAACTCAAGGCAGGTGGTGCCATGGTTGGGATTTGAACCAACAACCCTAGTACTTCCAGGTGGAATTGCTAACCATTTAACCACTGTGATTTTGAGTTGCTTCACCTAAATAGCTGATGACTGAAAACCTTCATAGCTGGTGATAACTGGTGACTGAAAACCTTCATAGCTGCTGATAACTGGTGACTGAAAACTTCATAGCTGCTGATAACTGGTGACTGAAAACCTTCATAGAACAAACCTCTAATATTATTTATAGCTGTAATTAAACAATGATATAGGAATCATCTGATCCATGGAAATAATCCAATTTTTTTTTTCCAATCATGAGGCAGCATTTACCTTGATTATTTATCTTCCTATGGACCAACACTGCTTAATATTGTGAAGATTTAAACTTGATGGACCAGTGACTTTTTCAGTTTAATAATAAAAAAAAAAAAGTGACACTATGTTTGCTACACTTTTAGAAAACCATATGCTCAGTCTCAGTGATAAGTAAAGTGTTTTTGCACTCCAGGGGTAAGAATCTGTGCTTGTATTTCTCAGAAGTTGCATAGCACCCACACGCTTATGTCATCATCATGTGTATTTTAAGGTTTTATAACACAGATTACATACTGCCTGTGAAACCTTTACAAATGTATATGAAGGCCCACCAATGACATAATTAGGGGTGATAAGTGGTATTTATATGGGTAGCGCAACAGTGAAGGTAGAACCCTTCATTGCCTTTCCCCCACCCTGTACGTCTCATTGTATTGATCATCAGTACCATTGTCAGTGGGCTCTTGTTGGGGATCAGATGGTTAGGGATGTTGGGAGGACTCTATTCTTCACATTTCCTATCTGCATTTCCTATCTGCCCCTTGACCAGAATCCAGTTATAAAGCCTGAAATATATCTAAAGTCCAAACTTTTTTTTGGATAGGGTAGGGACAAAATGTCCAATTGGGGAGATGTCCCTTCCTCATTTCCTGGCCTGTAGACTCAAAGTGAAAGGATATCTTTCCAATGTGGGGGAAATTCCCTCTTTAAAGAGCTGCCACAGGAAGAACTGTCCCCATTGCAAAACCCCCCCTCTATTCTTGTTTTAGTGGCAACCCACATTTTTGGATTTTTCTTGCACTGGGTCCTGGTGGCATTGGCGAATAGGACAATTAGAACAAATTTCCCAAATGGGGACAAATTCAACAGTAAAAATCTTACAGTGGTCCCAGCCCCTCATCACCCTTTCCAAATCTGCTATTAGCTAAACTTTAAAGTTGAAATCCAGGCAAACAGCTGAATATAAGATATACACTGTGTATGGGTGCTGTTTTATCTGCCAAATGATCTTTGTGGTATCAAAAAGTTTTGGGACTAGTTATGTAACACGGCAACAGATGGCAGCACAAGGCTGCACACACAGTCAAAGGGAGGACTGACCTTCATAAGTCAGTGTGCCAAAAGACATCATCCTGTGCAACTGGTTTTATTCTGACGATGTGCGTTACCATGTCTGCTATTTCATCATGGACAGCAAGTTAGAACAAAGAACAAACGTGAAATTCTGTGTGAAACTGGACAAATCTAGCACAGAGATGTTTGATAATGAGTCGTTTGAGGTGTTTTGAGTGGTACATGCGCTTCAAGAGCGGAAGAACATCACTGGAAGATGATGAGAGATCAGGTAGACCTTCAATGAGCTCAACCCCCGAAAATGTTGAAACTATTCGGCAACTTGTGTATGATGATCATTATCCACAAAATTGCTGCCATTGTCAGTGTGTCAATGCAGGCAATCTTCACATGTGATTTGAACATTCGCCGTGTTGCTTCCAAGTTTGTCCCCAGCCTGCTGACCCAGGAGCAGAAGGAACACCACGTTGAAGTCAGCCAAGAACTCGGATGTGGATGACCAGTCCATGTCGAGGATCATTACTGATGACGTAACTTGAATGTAGGTGTTTCACGTAGAATTTCATGTTTGCTCTTTGTTCTAACTTGCTGTGCATGATGAAATAGCAGACGTGGTAACGCACAGGGTCAGAATAGCACCAGATGCACAACTCCCGATGTGCACACTACGATATCTTTTGGCACACTGACTTCTGAAGGTCGGTGCTCCCTGCAACTGTTTTATACCATCTCGTATGTCCAGCTAGTCCTGCGATTCAGACAGACCTGGTGAATTGGCTTCTCTCTGCTGCAGTTAAAGTGGAACTAAATTTCCACTGTAAAAAGCAGCGAGAAGACAAGATTTTACTGCACAAGAGACATGCAATAAAATGCCCCTACCTGCCTGCCCGCTGTCTTCTCTGGCACTGTAAACTAAGCTGTGCATAGGCAGCTCAGCTTAGAGCACCATGCTGGTCTCTGAGGGTCAGGGTGACTGGCTCCTGAAGGTGAGGTTAAAATGGGGGTAAACATTTTTTGAGAAAACATAATGTGAATTATATGAATGAGAATGTGGACATATGGTCTGTTATTAAGCTAGATAAACAATCTACCTAGAGGTTTATTGCTCATTTATACTTGCGGTTGGGATGGGAGGAGGGGGGTGTAAAAATAGGCAGCTGAGCCCTTCTTAAAGCAAAGTTCCAGCCATTTTTGTGTTTATTAAAAGTCAGCAGCAACAAAAACTGTAGCTGCTGACTTTTAATAAACACACACTAAGCTGTCCCAGGGTCCAGCGATGTACTCACCTGCACCATCCCTTCTCTCCTCCACGGCGCCGGCATCTCAGCTGTGGGCACCAGGCTGTGACAGCTTGCGTCTTCACAGCCTGGTGCCTACTGCGCATGCAAGAGTCGTGCTGCGCCTCCTAATTGGTCTGGCAGTCTTCTGGGACATGTGAAAGTTCCCTGGAGACTGCGAGAAGAAGGAGGGGCGGAGGAGGCGGCGAACTGAGCTGGAAGTGGGAGCGGGTACTTGTCAAAAACAGGTATGTGCTTCCCCCCCATAAGGTGCCAAATAAGGCAGTGGGGGGGGGGGAGAGGCAAATAAGCGTAGCTTCTGCTTTTGAGTGGAACTCTGCGTTAAGCTGCAAAGGTGTCCGTTTATGAACCAGCAGTAATAGATCGCTGCTCAGTTCTCAGGCATTCTCGGAGAACACAGTTCTCCTGTGAATGCAGTTTATGAAGCAGTTCTCCAAACGAAGGGAGAACGGTCTACAAACGCTGGAGAACGGTCTACAAACTCTGGAGAACGGCTGATTTTACTATAATCTCGCGAGATTACAGTAAAAGATCAGTTTACTAAGCAGAGGTAAATTATCTCTGCTTAGTTTTCGGTCCCTCCGATTCTCCAGCTCTGGGCTGGAGAATCTGGAGGGAGAACACAGATCTCCAGAGAAGGGCTGAACATATTCTCCTGGGTGTCATAAACTGCCAAAGAAATAGCGGAGCTCTCTGCAGGGACACTTTTTGCCGGCTGTAGACAGGGTGAAAGTCGGCCGATTTTTTTTACCATTGATGGTAACGTCGGCCGCTTGAACAACCGATTTTTCATTTTTTAAAAGAAAAATCTGCCGTTTTTCTCCCCGTCTATGGCCTGCATTAGTTTGCGGTTCCTCTGATTGTCCAGCTCTGGGCTGGAGAATCTGGAGGGAGAACACAGATCTCCAGTGAAGAGCTGAAACATGTTCTCCGCTGATCTCGAGTGTCAAACTGTGAATGACCAGAGAATAGCTGTGATCCTCTGAATCTCAGCTATTCTGTGTGTCATAAACGGACACCAAAGTCGGATGGGGTAATACATATGCCTTGGCTTTGATGCTTTGCTTTGGGGACAGGTGACAACCATGAACCAAAAATTAGGCTGCACATTATTCCAATCAGAGAATGTGGGAAAAAAAACAGCCACTCAGGTGGTGGCACTTACACCTCCTTAATGCCTGTCAGTCATACCTGTATCGCTTTTTAAATGCAATCCATTGCAGATCCCTTTTCAGAGAGTAACTCAGATGTACACTAGGCCTACTTGTAAATAATGTACGAAATGAATTATCTGGGAGGTACGGGAGAAGCTTGTTATTGTATGTGTTTTTTGTTATTTTTTCCACAACTTATATGTATTTGATGAGTTTTTTTCTCTCTTTTTGTATTTTAAAGAAAAAAAAGACCTAATAAAAGATATAATAAGAAAAAAAAAAATAAAGAAACACGTGGGCACTTTCAGTCCTCCATTGCAGACTGCTGATCAGAAACTCAACCCTGTTAATCTTACCTATATGTCTTGTGCAGCTCCATCACTCTCTCCTCCAGCTCCCTCGTCTGATTGGGTGAGAAACGGAGTTCACTCACGTAATTCCCAAGATTCTCCTCAGGGTCATAATCACCAAGCTCAGCCTGTACAGTATATGACCCCAGTAGGGCATGCGTAACAAAGGAACAGGGCAGACGCCCGCTGATGATGTCAGCACGCAGCTGCAGGCACAGATAATACCTGGGGTGTATAGAAGAACTCCGTTAAAAAAGAACAATATAGTTGAATGTAACCAGTTGGCATCATTTCACTTCTTTTGTACAATCCCTATTGCCCCATAGACACAATGAGAATATTGGATGAATGATCATATTATTATTATTATACAGGATTTATATAGCGCCAACAGTTTGCTCAGCGCTTTACAAAATAAAGTGAGACAATGCAGCAGCAATACAGTTCAATACAAGAGGGTTAGGAGGGCCCTGCATTTTTTTGCATGCTAGTCTCATCTTGAAAGTGAAGAGGTTACTAAAGTTATGAAAATTCTTGTACAACATAAGAAAAAATTTGGAAGTGATGTCATGTATTTGTATTTTAGGACGAAAACTGCGCTGATTAAAATGCAAAAAATATTCGTGCTTGTCCCTTCAAATAATTTCGGACGAAAGCTGTGTAACAATCAGATTATCGTACGATCGATTCGAAAGCAGTATTTTTCGTACGATTTTCTGATCGTGTGTACTAGGTATATCTCTCTCTAACTATCTGCTGCAGAACAGTCACTGTAAAAGGCTTTATAGTGAGACTCCAAAGAGAATTGTATTATTTTACCTAATGTTGCTGGGGCTTTAAATTGAAATGATGAAAACAAGCAATTCTTTTGATGACTAGCAGATTAGATTATTCTCTGTGCAAACCTGATCCCAATATGATTATGATTAACCCCTATTTAGTTGTTGCTGCCCACACTGCTATGTGTTTCCCACATACACCAAACTAAATAAATAAAAAGTGCTGCACAACAATCCTTTTTCTATTCCCTTGATAAAAGTCACGTGACCGTGATGAAACATATCAGGGCAGGGCATAGTGACGTCATTGTGTCTGCCTGGAAGTGATGCTGATTTGCTCGAATAGTTGATGCTGTAGTCTTAGCTTTATGGGGACGTTGTACTTATATATGTGATGCACTGTTTTTTAGTGCACCTATTTTGTGAGTGTAACATTTTTATTGGTTTTAATAAAGGGTTTTTGGTTTATTTTTGTAAAACACTGGGAAAAATTTATTTTATGAAACCTATGACCTATTCAGGGATTGCTGAAGAGGATCCCAGAAGGGAACATCCATAGATACTGGGAAGTAGACTCCTTAAAGCTGAGCTCCACCCAAAAGAGGAAGTTCTGCTTTAAGCCTTTGTCCCCTGCTCCCCATTAAGGATTGGCCCCTTTGGGGAGCTGGGGGGAGGGGTACCCAAATTTGACAGGTACCTGCTCCCACTTCCGCTGCAATCAGAAACGGAAGTTATCCTCCCCCCCTCCCTCCCCGTAGTCTTCTGGGACACTTGACAGGTCCAGGAAGACAACAGGGCCATTCACAAAGCGCAGCACTTCTCGTGCATGCGCAATGGGCACCCGGCTGTGAAGCAGCAAGCTGTCACAGCCGGGTGCCCACATTGAAGATGCTGGTGCCAGGGAGAGAAGACGGCCGGTGAAACCAGCCGTGGTGAGGACACCGCTGGACCGAGGGACAGGTAAGTGTCTGTATTTTAAGCAGTTTTTGTAGCTACTGACTCTTATTATATTTTATTTTTTTAGGTGGAACTCTGCTTTAAAGGGGAAGAGGCATGTGACCTATTTTTAAGTAATATCTAAAGAATATATAAGAGAGCGCTAACTAAATTATGAAGTATATAAATATTAAAATTACAGAATTAATGATTTAAGAATAGCTGCTAGCACTCCGGATATCGGCAACAGTCCCAAAATCAACTTTAAAGGTATAAGTGCAGCGCTGCTCTTATACCTTTAAAGTTTATCTTTACGTAATAAGTCCACTTGCTGAGGCAAGCGCACATTGTGAAAGGTGGGACTCACTGGGCATTATTGCATGCTAAAGATTAATGAAGACACTTGAATACATTCTGGGAGGATGTATATTTGAAGAGATTTAATTGAAGTACCATAATAATTTTTTTATATAGAAAATAAAAACTAATTTTAATTCACACACAATATTATGTGTTTATATAAGATTTATGCATGAGACGCTGAATATTGTATTTCGGGGATTGATTTGTATTATTGATGTGGAGGATATATATATATATATATATAATTTTTGCATAAAGCATTTGGTCTGGTTTAGTGGTGTACATACGGATGTGGATGCAATATTATGTAGTAGAAAAAAATAGACAGAGGAGGATTGTTGCACTGCACGTTTTATTTCTTTTTTTGATGACTAGTTTTTGCTTCAGAATCACTCCTTATTTTATGATGGCTGGCAGGTCTAAAGCTGGCCATACACGGTGTACATTTCTTCTGGTTCCTAGTGAACTAGAGCCAGAAGAAGCCTCCCGCCCAACATCCTTCAATTGAAAAATCATTTTCGGAGTCAGGCGGAAAATTGTTGGCCAAACAGCACTGGAATGCAATCAGATGCAGCCTCTGTTCAGGTATTTTGACAGCTGGGAGCTCTGGTTGTCAGGATACAGCAGCGGCAGTAGAAGATTGATCCATCTTTGGTGTTTAGCATGAATGGAGGACTCTGTTAGATGTACGGCCAGAAAAATGTTGCATGGCATTTAATAGAGAAATAAAACTGTTAAAGCATCAGCCCATTAGAAATTACCCGTGATAGACTAATGTCTAACATATCAAACTAGCTAATTACATCACTATGTTCTTCAAACCTTGTAATGTCCTCTGTGAGCTGTGCTGGGTCAGGAGGGTAAAATTTCACTGTGAAACCAAATGACCAAGGGCCACCTAAGGAGAGAAAGAGAGAGAGACAAGGCTGAAATCAGTAAGCTGAAAAAAGGTAATTGGAAGGAAGGGTGGAGGGGAGAGGACAGAAAAAGAGGAAGTGAGAGAAGGAAGGGAGAGGAGGCTGCAGAGAACAAAAGGAAGGAAGAGATGTTAAATCATGGGAAGGGAGAGAACAGAAAGAGACTGGGGACAGGAGAGAAGCAAGGGACTTAAAAAGGAGAAGGGAGAGAAGAATGGGAGAAAAAGAATTATAGAGGGAGAATGGGGGCAGAAAGGAAACAGAAGGAATAGAAGGGAGAGAAGGATGTGCATAGGAACTGAGAGAATGAAAAAAAAAAAAGGAAATGGGAAGGAGAAAAGGAAGGCAGAAAACAAACAGGAGGAAGAGAAGGAATGAAAGTGAGAGAAGAAAGACAAAGAAAATGGTGATGGGAGGTGGGAAGAGAAGAAGAGAAAATTAGGGGAAAGAAGCAAGAAAGGGCAGAGGACAGGAAGAGGCAGATAGAGGGGGCATGAGAGAAGGATGGGAAATAAGAGAAGGAAGGGTGGAATGGAAGAAAGAAAAGATTTGTTCAGTCAGAAGCAGATTAATAATAATATCAGTGGAGGTTTTGTTTTACCTTGGGTCTACCCTGCTTGAATTTGTAAAATGCAAACTTTCCATCACCTCATTAACAATGTTAAAAGGACTGATACAAAAAAGGACTGAAACAAAAAAGAAAGAAAGAAAGAAAGAAAGAAAGAAAGAAAGAAAGAAAAAAAAGAAAAAAAGAAAGAAAGAAAGAAAGATGTGTGAGCAGACAATTTTCCACACTCACTTCTGATCTGTTTTTTTATCTCCTTGGAGGGATCCAGCCAATTCTGAAAGACAAAAGTGACAGGTTTAGGGCAGAAAAGTCGTGCGGCAGCTTGCACTTTGATGTAACTTCCACGCTATAGAGTCACCAATAGAAGCATGTTATCTTGCTATAAACAGCCCTACACTGGGAGAAGTGGTATATACATGATGTAGAAGGAGTCATTCTAACATTATCTATATGGATAAACCTTAGAATTGCAACATTTCTACAAAGGATATAACAGTCCTAACCAGGGGCGGACTAGCAACTCATGGTGCCCCCGGGCAATAGGGGATCATTGGGCCCCTGTGTCCTCTCCCCACACTCAAAAACCACACCCACAAAAGCCTATGAAAGGTATCATGGGCATCTCATGGGGCCCCCTAATGACTCTGGGCCCTCGGGTAGTGCCCAAGTGCCGGAATGGTCAGTCCGCCCTTGGTCCTAAGATCAATAAAGTGTGCATTTCGGTAATAGCATAACAGCAAACTAAACATGATAGTGTATGCTTTACCTTCTGGCTGTCAGTGTCACAAAATGTCAGCCCAAAATAATCCTTCTCCAAGAGGTTGAGGTGGTCACAGACAGTATCAAAACAGGACCTGGCCCCGCGCATGTTTCTGTAACATAGAAAAGTCAGCAGTTTAAAATTAGGTCATATACACGACCATGCAGTCAGCCTTCTAAAAGGGAGTGGTTCATATTGCTCTAACTACGCTGATGATTTCTCTGAATTTAAAGCTAAACTCCAGAAAAATATACAAATTACACTTATTAAATACATTTATATATTTTTTAACCACTTCCCGTCTGGTCCATGTACATAAACGGCCAGACAGGAGCAGTGCAGGAGCGGGTTGCCGTTCATAAACAGCGCCCGCATTTACAGCCTGTGCACACTCCCTGGGAGCACGCAGCACTGTGATCCGGTGCCCGCTGTACGGGACCTCTGTGTGAGGTCCCGACCATGTGATCACTGATTGGCCAATCAGTGATCACATGAATAATAGTAAACAAGATGTCACTTGCTGACCTCATTGCCTAGTAGTTGTGAAATCTGTGAATGATCATAGAGGTCACATGGTACAAGGCTATTCACAACAGCCTTGTACCATGTGACAAGCTGTGACCAATCACAGCTCTCACAGTATTTCTCAATGGCTGCAAGAATGCAGCCAGAGAAAAGGAGAAATGATTGCTTATACAGCCTTTATGGGTGTAAAAGCAATCAGTGTAAGAAAAAAAAAAAAAGTCTACATCACTCCCCACAAGTAGCACAGTGTCACTATGGTGACACTGTACTGCTAGCGTGACAGTATGTTTAAAAAACAAATAATAATATAAAAAAAAAAAATACAAATATAAAAATATGTTTTCAAAAATTATAATTTTGGGGTTTTTTTTTTTTTTTGCTAGAAACATAGCTGAATACATTGTGGCCAAGATTTATGAAGAAAGATTATTTATTTGAAAAATTTTATAAGAAAAACAGTTTTTCCAAATTTTTGGACTTTTTCATTTATATAGCAAAAAAAAAAAAAATCCCAGTGGTGAATAAATACCACCAAAATAAAGTTTTATCCGTCTCACAAAAATGCTAAAAAAAATCATATGGGTACAGTGTTGCAATTGTCATTCAAAGTGTGATAGCGCTGAAAGCTGAAAATTGGCCTGGACAGGAAGGGAGTGAAAGTGTCCGGACTTGAAGTGGTTAAAATGCAACTTTAGGTATGGCTTTTTTAAGCATAGTTACACTGCTCCATCTAATCCCTTGGAAAGCCAGAAAACACTGTAGTAGCTTACAGGTCCTGTGCCAGCAGGCAGAAATGACACTGGGTGTGCTTAACTGAGAAAACGTACACACTATAGTGGGATATGCTTTGTTCATATTTCATGTCTGATGTTTACAACCACTTGAACTACAGTGGAGAAAAGTCAGATCACCAGCTGTGTGTACTGTCTATCAAGGCTATATATAAATTTCAGGAATAAATGGACAGAGATATAAATCCTTTACAGGGGGAACAATTTCCTTATAGGTATTTCAACCAAAGATTTACCAGTTTCCCTAAAATTCAGTTTACAGTGACCCTGGCACTACTGGGTCAAAACAGACATCCCAATAAAAAGAATAGGCACTGTACATAATTTACAGGGCTTACTTTGTGACGTGCTACAAAATTACAATGTTGAAGTCTGATCACAGGGGACAGGAGACAAAGCAAATATTTCTTCCTGCCTGCAGCAGACTAATGAAATCTCAGCCTAGGCAAAATCACTTGAACATCTCAAGTAAGATTTTTTATGGCTTAATGGCACAGCTTTTCAGAAAAAAAATATGATGTTACTGTATATTGTGACATGTCAGGAATTTATTCTTGCAGAAAGATCCACTATAATAAAAATTCCAAGCATTCTGTGATTCTCAGATGCTAATGATCATTTATTTGCAAATTCCTATAGTAGCACTTTAGGCTCCATTCACATCAGAGTGCAGCATTTTTCAGCATTTTTTGCACAGATTTTACCGTAATTTTTGTGTGTTTTTTGCATGTTTTCATACAGCGTTTTTAGCTGTTTTTGAGCTTTGCTATTTTTTAATTAGTCAGTAGGAAAAATATCATCTGCTGTATTGCTTGTTGCTAGGTTTTTCTGCTTCAGCTTTCCATCAGCTTTAATTTATTTTTCTATTAATATTTTGAATGTATTATTATTTTATTTTTTGTTAGGGTGAGGGGTTAGAGTTAAGGTTAGGATTAGGGGTTAAGGTTAGCTTTTGGCTTATATTTTATTTATTTTCTTCTTATTTATTTATTTTTTTGTTAGGGATAGGTTGATAAATGAATAAATAAATGTAAAATAAATACACAAGTAAATAAAAAAAATCATAAATAAATACTATGTAATAATAAATAAATAATTAACCCCTAACCTTAATCCTATAACCCTTAAAAAATATATTAAACAAATTATTATTATTATAAAAAATAAACACCTAAACCGGAACAAAAAACACATTATTAATAACAATAATAATAATAAATGAATAAATACATGTAAAATAAATACACAAAAAATTAAAATAATCATAAATAAATATTTGTAATGTAAAATTAATAATAATTAACCCATAACCTTAGCCCCCTAAAACCTAGTAAAATAATATGATTATTATTATTATTATTATTATTAATAATAATAATAATAATAATAATATTAATAATAATAATAACAATAATAATAATAATGATGTATTTCATTTTTTTAAGATTAGGCATTAATTATTATTTATATTTATTTATCATGATTTTTTAGTTATATGTATATTTATTTTACATTTATTTATTCATATATTATTACTATTATGTTTTTTTTCATTTGAGCAGAAAATCATGCAAAAAAATTGTGTTAAAAATGCGCCAATCGCGCGTTTCTATTCTTTTCTATGGGAATAAAAATGCACCAAAAATTTGCAAATCTGCTCAATTTGAGCTACAAAAGTAGCTCCAAAACTTTTTTGAGCTTCAGGCGTCTTGGAGTGGAGATGTGAACCATCTCCATAGAGTAATATTGATTTTTTTTCCCGTTGATCGTTTTGGAGCTTCAAGCTTCACACTACAAAATTATTATTATTATTATACAGGATGTATATAGCGCCAACAGTTTGCTCAGCGCTTTACAATATAAAGGGAGATAATACAGCAAAAATACAGTTCAATACAAGAAGGATAGGAGGGCCCTGCTCCTTGGAGCTTACAATCTAAGAGATTCTCAGGTGTGAATGTTATTGATTCACAACATTGCTAATAAAAGTGTATTACTGGCCTGTGATGTGTAAAAGAAAGGTAGATTTTGCTACATCATCAGTTTATCATTTCCTCTTCATATCTGACATATATTTGTTTTAATGAATCCCTTTATATTTCTCACCTCCACTTCACACTCATAGTGGGAAGAGTCCAGAAGCGTCACCCTGCAAAGTGCACTCTTCGGTTTTCTAGACAGTTTTTGTGGCGATCGTTGAGTGTGGGAGGGCGTTGTTCTGTCTGCCAAATCAAACCTCTCTTCATCCTGCCATTCATACAAGGGAAGACAGCACTTAAATAATACCACCATTTGTATAACAAATACACTTCTTAAAACATTAGGTAATTCATCTCCGTAGAGGTCTAATAAACCGAACTCTTTTGTTTCTGATGTTAGAAGGCAGTAGACCCTTAGGACACAACACCACCTCTTTCAGTAGCCACATATACATACTGTACATGACTGTAGCCTGTTCCCATTCATTTATTTATGGCCTGCTAGCATGGGCAACAACATGTCACCAGCTTAAAATTTCTACCATAACGTTTTGTCTCACTGTTGATGACCCACTTTTGTGATGTTTGATTTTTTGTTCTTATGAATAGATGGCTGGCAAAGGTGACAACATATGAATATATCATGGGACCAGAAACCTAATTGAGCTTCCAAAACCATGGCCAATAATATGGAGTTGGCCCTTGGTTGTGGCTATAACAGCCTCACCTCTTCTGGAAGGCTTTCCACAGTTTGGAGTGTGTCAGTGGGAATTTGTGCTTATTCCGACAAAAGTATATGTGAAGCTAGGTATTTAAGTTGGATGAGAAAGACCTGGCTCCCAATCAGCATTAAATCAGCATTCAATATCATCAAAAAGGTCTTCAGTAGGGTTGAGGTCAAGGCTCTGTGCAGGCCACTTGAGTTCCTCCAAGTCATCATAGCTTTGTCATGCTGGAACAAAAAAAGGCCTTCCACAAACTGTTTCCACTAGGTTGGAAGTCCACAGTTATTTAAAACGTCTTTGTCTGGTGTAACATTATGGGAAACCGTGTTTCGGTTTACAAATTTTTCGCAATACGAAACGCGCATTAAATTCGTAAACCGAGGTACGCCTGTATTTATGAACAGTATATTCATTTAAAAAATATACACAGTGTATGAGGAACAGTGTATGAGGATCAATGAGAAAGCCAGTTTGACTATGAAAGGATGTTGTTCCTGAGAAATTGGCCTACTCAATCCCAGTTAGTTTATTATATTGTAGATGGATAGAATAGGGGGGCAGAGTGACCGGCAAGGGAGGCAGGTTAAACAAGATGGAGGAGTGATTGGTGATGGTGGGTTGTTAAGAGGATATATGCTGGGGGGGCACTTTGGGAGAGGAGATGACCTATGCTACAAGTGGGGGTTGAATTTGAAATCCGGCCTCCCTACAAGAGCCAAGCCATCACATCTCCCAAAGCACCCCCCAGCACATATCTGATGCCCCCACCTCCCTACTAGCACAAGTCCTCTCCCCTCCCAAAGCAAAGTGCCCCCAAGCGCAAACTGTAACGCCCCCCCCCCCCCAACACCTCCCTACTAGCACAAGTTCTCTCCCCTCCCAAAGTGCCCCCCAGGATATAACAAACTCCCCACCTCCCTACTAGCACAAGTCCTTTCCCCTCCCAGAGCACCCCCAGCACATAACAGACCCCCCCCACCTCCCTACTAGCAGCAGTCCTCTCCCTTGCTAAAGCGCCCGCCCCCCCAGCACATAACAGACCCCCCTACGTCCCTACTAGGAGGTCTGTACTTAGTGGAGGGGGAGGTCTGGACTGAGGGAGAGGGGTCTGTATTGGCGGGGGACTATATTTGGTTAAGAGGGGGGTCTGTACTGATGGAGGGGGAACTATACTTGGTGAAGAGGGGGGTCTGTACTGATGAAGGGGGAATCTAAACTTAGTGAAGAGGGGGGTCTGTCCTGAGGGAGGGGAGTCTGTACGGAGGGGGACTATACTTGGTGGAGGGGGGGTGACACCATATTTTACTGCACCAGATGACACCAACCCTAGTGACTGCTTGCGGCTGTCTACCCCAAAAGACAGTGGAAACAAATTTGCTATCATCACAATGGAACCAAGGTTTTAAAACATTATCACACTAATAAAACCATTTATGTCCAGCTCACTTCTTGTACCTATATATCCAAGAAAACATTAAAACTATTATAGATTTAGGCAGGATATACACACAAGCACTTGGCAAAGTCACAGAGCACCCAGTGCATTAAAGAAAACATACTGCAGCATCTAACACTGCAGTATTGTTCAGTTTACGTATATCCCTTGTCAGGAAAAACATTCAGCATTGGGGAGAACACAAAGCCAAACCCACAGCCACTGATGTGCTCCTGAACCCAACATCTGTAAATATCAACCCTTAATAAGTCTGTACATTTTTATATACAGTAGTACATAACACTTTTATTATTAACCTGTGTAATGTATAGTGGTCTTATCAAGTATCATCCATGAAATTGTATCATGCATGGGTATCATCTTCCAGCAGAACTCAATATTTATACTCACTTCTGTAAGTCTTCGTGAGCTGTCGCTGGTTCCCGGCCTGTCTACACTATTTGCCGGCGTTTGTGGGGTTTCGTGTGGGAGCAGAGCAGGATTATGTACCCCATCCTGGGCAGGCCCGTCTGGTCCAGGATTAAGTTCAGTGTCAGCCCCCACCTCTGTGGTCATTATAACTCCTCAGGCTTGTGTAGGCTAAAAGAAACAGAAGGGAAAGTTATAGATTTTGTATATTCCAGTGCAGCGCTGCGTCGTTCTTAAAGGCAGAAAAAAATAGCATTGCATAATCATTTCCAGACACATACATTCTTATCAATAGACATCATGTAGAAAGCCAACACTATTAAATCGTGTTAGAATTTTCTATCATTGGTCATTATTGAAAACCAATAACATCTCATCTTGTCCGGGTTACAGCTGGAAGTTTGCTTGACATTATACCCAAACTCAAAACTGCCAGATCATGTCCTAATTATTTGAGGAGATATTCAGAAGATAACTGTTGGAGTCCAGCCCTGTCTGGTCTAGTCCTTATAATGGACAATGCAGTGAACACAAGGTCTTAAAAGAAATCAGCAGAGAATCTGCTCTGACATAATGGAAAACTGTAAGATATTGTCCAAGAGATCAAGTTAAGTAACCTATGGATAGGCAATATTCGCAAGCAGTGTTGGCAGTTTAACCATCGGGTAATGTCAAACCCAAGTAATGATCGCAATCTGTAAGGTTCAGTAGTACTTGTTATTGTTCCTAGAGGTTTTTCCTTTGGTGTATAAAGCAACTTAACCATCTTGGCTAAAATAGGCTACAGAAAAACATTCAGCATTGGGGAGAACACAATACCAAATCCACAGCCACTGGATGTGCTCTTCAATCCAATGTCTGTAAATATAAACCCTTTATAATTCTGTACAATTATATACAGTGAGGAACAGAAGTATTTGAACACCCTGCAATTTTGCAAGTTCTCCCACTTAGAAATCATGGAGGGGTGTGAAATTCACATTGTAGGTGCATTCCCACTCTGAGAGACAGAATTAAAAAAAAATTCAGGAAATCACATTGTATGATTTTTAAAGAATTTATTTGTCTTGCACTGCTGAACATAAGTATTGGAACACCTGAGAAAATCAGTGTTAATATTTGGTACAGAAACATTTGTTTGCAATTACAGAGGTCAAACGTTTCCTGTAGTTCTTGACCAGGTTTGCACACACTGCAACAGGGATTTTGGCCCACTCCTCCACACAGATCTCCTCTAGATCTGTCAGGTTTCGGGACTGTCACTGAGCAACACGGAGTTTCAGCTCCCTCCAAAGATGTTCTATTGGATTTAGGTCTGGAGACTGGCTAGGCTACTCCAGAACCTTGATGTGCTTCTTACGGAGCCACTCCTTGGTTATCCTGGCTGTGTGCTTCGGGTCGTTGTCATGTTGGAAGACCCAGCCATGACCCATCTTCAATGCTCTGACTGAGGGAAGGAGGTTGTTGCTCAAAATCTCACAATAAATGGCCCCATTCATCCTCTCCCTAATACAGTGCAGTCGTCCTGTCCCCTTCGCAGAAAAGCATCCCCAAAGCATGATGTTACCACCCCCATGCTTCACAGTAGGGATGGTGTTCTTGGGATGCAACTCATCCTTCTTTTTCCTCTAAACACGACGAGTGAAGTTTAGACCAAAAAGTTCTACTTTGGTCTCATCTGACCACATGACTTTCTCCCATGCCTCCTCTGGATCATCCAGATGGTCATTGGCAAATGTCAGACGGGCCTGGACATGTGATTACTTGAGCAGGGGAACCTTCCATGCAATGCATGATTTGAAACCATGACGGCATAGTGTCCTACCGACAGTGACCTTTGAAACTGTGGTCCCAGCTCTCTTCATGTCATTGACCAGCTCCTCCCTTGTAGTTCTGGGCTGATTTCTCACCTTTATTATCATCAGTGATACCCCACGAGGTGAGATCTTGCATGGAGCCCCAGTCCGAGGGAGACTGACAGTCGTCTTTAGCCTCTTCCATTTTCTAACAATTGCTCCAACAGTTGATGTATTTTCACCAAGCTGCTTGGCAATTGCCACGTAGCCCTTTCCAGCCTTGTGGAGGTCCACAATTTTGTCTCTGGTGTCTTTTGACAGCTCTTTAGTCTTGCCCATGGTAGTAGTTGGTGTCTGACTGACTGTGGGGTGGACAGGTGTTTTTAAAGAGCTCAGACAGGTGTTACTAAGTTAGATTAATGAGTGGAGTAGAGGTGGACTTTTTAAAGGCGCAGTAACAGGTCTTTGAGAGCCAGAATTCTTGCTGTTTCTTAGGTGTTCAAATACTTATGTTCAGCAGTGCAAGACAAATAAATTCTTTAAAAATCATACATGTGATTTCCTGATTTTTTTTCTTAAATTCTGTCTCTGAGAGTGGGAATGCACCTACAATGTGAATTTCAGACCCCTCCATGATTTCTAAGTGGAAGAACTTGCAAATTCGCAGGGTGTTCAAATACTTCTGTTCCTCACTGTATACAGCAGCTCATAACACTTCTATTATTAACCTGCATAATATATATAGATCTTATCAAGACCATAATGGGCTTAACCATTTTGGCTAGGATAGGCTGACCCCTCACACCCTGCGTTGTAGGAAAGAAAAGATCTAGTCCACGAGTGGGTTTTAATGCAATTTCCAGAGAAGTACAAACTGTGGAATTAATACAGGATGGTGGGTCTAGAACGTATCATTACTGATATCTTGAGCAGCTTGCTCAAGATATCAGTAATGATACGTTCTAGACTCACCATCCTGTATTAATTCCACAGTTTGTACTTCTCTGGAAATTGCATTAAAATCCAACATTGCAGATGCATAGGCTGGTCTTCTGCAATCAGAATGACTCATCCTTGAAAGCTTTTCAAAGCTGGTCCTTAAGGACTACTTAGGAGACGTCATGTGAGCATCCTTAGCAGGTTATCCCGAGAGGATGGATTTGGGAGGAAATGTCCTAATTCTCATGCTCTGAGACTGTCCTATGCTGTCTCATACCCCCAGTTTGCAGAGAAAAAAATATCTCTACACCCACACAGATGTCTCTACTTGGCTGGCTGGGGGTGTGAAGGGAGAGGACCCCCTCCCTTACAAGGCCTGATTAATGCAATCTGCAGTTAGAGCATCATAGGCTGTGAGGCCTGACACCTCCTCTATATATATATATATATATATATATATATATATATATACAGAGAATAGTCTCTGAGCCTGTGTTCACCCTCTCTTGCTGTATTAGCGCCTTCTGCTTCCCCCACCCTCAAATTGTTATCTCCTGTCTTAGCTGTTGTATGTCTCAGGCTCCTCCAAACTCCATCATCTCACAATACCCACCCTTCTTCCATTCACTTGTCTCCTTATCAGTCGCCCCAGCCCCCCTTCTTCCCTCTCCTCTCCTTTCTACGGCTTCTTTTCCACATCTTGGCTTACTACACCTTTGCCTGTCTTGTTTTCCTGGCTTAAGATGAATATGGACTTCTAGGCAGCTTGCAGAGAGTGTATGAACATTTGTAATAACAGAACGCAGATCAGACCAGTGTTGAGGCTGTTGCGAAGGGGAGAGGAATTACTGTGACAACAGTCTAATAAAATAAATCCTTGCAGATCTCCTGTAAATGTAATGCTGCCACAGCTGGGGAAAAGAGGGGTTTGCGTCACCATACAAAGATTAACCCTCAACGCTCTGCACAGCTCCAACTGATCTCTTTCAAATACTGAGAAGGCTATATAATTATTTATTATTTACAGGTAGCGCCAAAAATTTACACAACGCTTTACATATATATAGTACATATTCAAATCAGTCCCTGCCCGCAAGGAGCTTACAATCTGAGGTCTCATTCATACATACAGTTATGGCCAAAAATATTGGCACCCCTGCATTTCTGTCAGATAACGCACCCAGAAAATTGTTGCAATTACAAATGTTTCGGCATTCTCATGCTTTTTTTGTTTGTATTGGTGTGACTCTAAAAAAAGTGGAGAAACAAAAAGCCAAATCCGATACATTTAAAAAAATCTTGAAAACCCCAAAAATGGACTGGACAAAATTATTGCCACCCTCAATTTCATATTTAGTAGCACGCCCCTTGGAAAAAAATAACTGGAATCAATCGCTTCTTGTAACCATTAATGAGTTTCTTCCACCTCTCTACTGGAATTTTGGAGCACTCTTCTTTCGCCAACTGCTACAGGTCTATCAGATTGGAAGGGTTCCTTTTACAACTGCTGTTTTGAGATCTCTCCACAGATGCTCTATGGGATTGAGATCTGGACTCATTGCTGGGCAGTTCAGTACTCTCCAGTGCTTTGTCGAAACCATTTATGAGTGCTTTTTGACGTGTTTTGGGTTATTGTCCTGCTGTAAGACCCATGACCTCTGACGGAGACCAAACTTTCTAACACGGGCCCTATATTGCACCCCAGAATGTTTTGGTAGTCTTCAGATTTCATAATGCAATGCACATGGTCAAGACATCCAGTGCCTGAAGCAGCAAAGCAACCCCAAAACATCAATGAACCTCCACTATGTATGACTGTAGGGACTGTATTTTCTTTAAAGACCTTATTGCTTTTTCTGAAAACAGTAGAATGATGGGCTTTACCAAAAAGCTGTAATTTTGTTTCGTCTGTCCACAGCACATTCTTCCAAAAGGATTTTTGGCTTCCTCAGGTAAGCTTTGGGAAACTGCAATCTGGCTTTTTTATGTTTCTTTGTCAGCAGTGGGGGTCCTCCTGGTTCTCCTACCATAGCGTCCCTCTTCATTCAGATGGTGACGTATAGTGCGAGCTGTACCCTGTGCCTGAAGGTCAGATTGAATTTTTCTGGAAGTTGATCAAGGTTCTTTATCCACCATTCAAAAAATTATTTCTCGCAATCTTTGATCAAGTTTTTCTCTTTCGTCCATGTCCAGGAAGATTAGCTACAGTGCCATGGACTGTAAACTTCTTGACAATGTTGTGCACAGTGGACACAGGAACATTAAGATCTGTTAATTGATACAGGTGAGTTTAATTATAAATTACAGGGGCATCACAAACTTGGAATGCAATTATTTCTTACAATTTTGAGAAGGTGCCAATAATTTTGTCCAGTCCATTTTTGGGGATTGCATGGAATGTATCAGATTTGG